AGATATTTACAGTTTCATAACTATTCTTATATATAGAATATTCAGTAATCTGAACATGTGGTATCGAGGTAGGATTTCGATGCCCAGAGATGACATTCACCTTCCTTGAACTGCATTAGAATGCAGTTCGTATATATTCTAATGCAGTTAATTCTAAGGCACTGCATTAGAATGCAGTTCGTATATATTCTAATGCAGTTAATTCTAAGGCACTGCATTAGAATGCAGTTTGTATATATTCTAATGCAGTTAATTCTAAGGCACTGCATTAGAATGAAGTTTGTATATATTCTAATGCAGTTCATTCTAAGGCACTGCATTAGAATGAAGTTTGTATATGCCTTGTATATAGTTTACCTCAGACTGATACCACGCATGTGTAGTGCCTGGAGGCCTCTGTACTACTCATTTCAATTCTTTTGGAAGTTCAGCTTGCCAGAAATTGTGGTTTGTATTGGTCACGTGATGCCTTGGAGAGGGCGAGAAGGGACGGTACAGGAACTTTACTGGGAGCTGAGATTATAGGCTGCTCGGCTCAGGAGAGGTGTGTAGAGCTACTGAAGGATCTCAGCCCTCTATGACCTCATCAGTCTGCTCTCTGGCTCTCTAATGATTGCTCGAATGATCTTCGTTGTCTCTGTGGTCGGGGAAGGTTGTGGGAAACAGGAATGATGGGTTAAAACACCAACTAACAACGCACAAAGAAATCACATTAACGTCATGCATCAATAACGTGATGTATCAATAACGTGATGTATCAATAACGTGATGTATCAATAACGTGATGTATCAATAACGTGGTGTATCAATTTTGACCACATAACAAGTATAGTTGCGTTTGAATTTCTCTTCGAAAATTACTACAAAATTTAGACTTTCTCGATGCTACTTTTCCTTAAATAAGTGGCCTCATATTCTGCTATCAGGTGAAGATATTGATGCACAGCTGAGTGCCAAGCCACACTTAAGTATCCCTCAGGCTGACATGAACTCATAGAGAATGTCACAATAAAGTAGCGAGAAACAAGTGACCCAAACCATATATATGTAATGAAAGAAAGTGGCGACGTTCCGGTCGGTGCTGGACCCTTGTCCACCTGAGACAGCCAGCAGCTTCGTTACTTGGAAATTGTCAAATCGGAATGTTGAAGAGATCCGTCTGTCATGCCTATGAGGAGACCAAAGTCAACAAACCCACGTGTTAATCATAGATCAAAACACACATATTGGGGGTTAATAACACGGAGTGTTAATAATAAACCCAGCTTATGTTATCACTGAGTTGTTATCTCGCCCCATCCTCGGCTAGTTAGACCACAGTTCATTCTCGCACCGGACTACACAATGAACATTTTGAACACAAATTCTTGAGAAAATACGCAAGGAGTTCACAATGATGCTGTTGTTGTTGTTGTTGAAGATAAGCCACCAGAAGAGGTGGCACGGGCATGAGTAACCCGTGTGTGGTAGATGTTTGGAGTGAATGTGATCTGTGGTCGTGTAACATCTTGAAGTGTCTCTGGCCCTGTGAGAATGATGCGAACTGTCTACTCAAAATATTACTTACAGCAATGCAGGGTTTGACCCAGTGACCTGGTAAACACATCAAGAGCGTGGGTTCGCATAGGTTCGAATCCTCATCACGGCTCCTGTGAATTTTCTCATTATTATTATTATTATTATTATTGAGAAAATCCGTAGGAGCAGTGATGAGGATTCGCACCAATGCGCACACGCACTTGCTTCTAGCAACTAGACCGTGAAATGGTCGAGTCGCTTGAAGTGTGTGCGTGTGACCCCCATCGCGTAGCTTCGAACCCCTCATCACGGCTCCTATTGATTTTCTCATTGATGTAGTCAATGGGGTTAGTGTGATTACTCTCTGTGTATTCCTATTATTATATATTCACCTGTTAACATCATCAGAGACAATGGCCAACATTTCCTCATACTGTGATCCAATCTCACACTTCCACATGTCTCTTTAACACAATCAGAACTGTTGATCTGTCTTAGAGGTTGTTACAGTCCTAATGATCTAGCTGTCTCCACCTTCTAAATACATCAACACTCTAACATGTCAAGGAGAGCATAAAGAAATCTTCTATAACACAATACACTGAGAAAGTTTGCATGAAACAGAGCAGACTTTAATAATTTCTAACTTAACTGATATGGTTATGTTTTGATATCTTTCCCATAACTGTGTTAGACATCCTCGAATTTTTCGAAATAATTTTGTTCCATTGTAATGTAATTACAGTTTTCCTGAATTTTATTCTAGTTTATATTATCTCGCTGCGTTTTAATACTGTGGTATTCTGCTAATTATCAATAACATTAGCTTAGAGAGTAATATTTTATTCATTATTTCTCTGACAATAATCTACTGTCACTTAACTATTCCTTAGTACGTAATTTCACTCTCTAATTTGACCGCAGGAAACCCATGGTCTATCATTGCTGTATCAAGGTAACTTTAGCCTTATTTCTACTGGAAAACTGTAGTATAAATCCACGGATAATTCTCCTCTTCTGCCCTGTGTGTGTGTGTCCAGATACCGTACAGTTTCTCAAGCCAAATAAACAATTGATATCTCTGACTCAGATAGATAAGACACCAAGGGGACGGTCCCTATCTGAGATGTTTTACCCCCAAAAAAGTCTTTGAAGTTAATTCGCAAGAAAATATTTAGTGAACTAAACGGTAGACAGGAGTTCTGTCAGCGACGTGTTGCTTCTGGTGCTCTTTCTGTCTCGTGGAGGAGTTACAAGAAAGTTTCCTCCCCTGGACAGAGTTCTTTTCTGTACTCACCAAGTTGTGGCGAGTGTGGGATCCTCCTAACTGCTTCCCATACTAGTAGATCCACTAGTATGGATCTACATACTAGATGGATCTACGTCTACTACGAGTAGACGTAGATCCATCCTTGGGTAAAACAATTCTTATTCTTATGGCTGCCTCGGGAAAACCTTAGTATATGGAGGGAGGGACCCGTCTTGTAGTTGGGTCGTCATTACTAGGATGGTTAGGTTAGGGTAGCTGATGCGAATGTGTGACCCTGCTAACCGCAAAAATGATTACACTGCAGGTATTGTCTGATGGCTGAGAGGACAGCACTCGAGGTTTGTAGTCCTCCGCCCGGGTTCGATCCCCAGCGGAAACAATTCCCCTATTAAGTACTTTATTGTGCACCCCATACCCTGTCTATTCCCCTCAGAATTTTGTAGGTGGTTATCATGTCTTCCCTTACTCTTCTGAGGTTTAGCTCTCGTAGCCATTCCTCGTAGCTCATACCTCTCAGTTCTGGGACTAGTCTGGTGGCATATCTCTGAATCTTCTCTAACTTTGTCTTGGTCTGACATTAGTGGTATACAAGGATATGAACTATGCCTTACACAAGTTTCTAAAGGCAGTTCTTATGTTGGCCAATCTAGCATATGCCGCTGATGATATCCATTTGATGTGGGCCTCTGGGGACAGGTTCGGTGTGATATCAATCCCCAGATCTTTTTCTTTTTTTTGACTCTTACAAGATTTCACCTCCCAGATGGTACCTTGTGATCAGCCTTCTGCTCCCTTCGCCTGAGTGGTAGTTTAGGTAGAGTGTGAGTGGTAGTTCATTGTGCACCCCATACTCGTCCTGAGAGTGGTAGTTTATTGTGCACCCCATACTCGTCCTGAGAGTGGTAGTTTATTGTGCACCCCATACTCCTCCAGTGAGTGGTAGTTTATTGTGCACCCCATACTCCTCCAGTGAGTGGTAGTTTATTGTGCACCCCATACTCGTCCTGTGAGCAGTAGTTTATTGTAGTAGTCAGTTAGTCTGCTCGAGTGTGCTAGTCTGTTAGTCTGTACGAATGTGTTAGTCTGTACTCACCTATTTGTGCTTGCGGGGGTTGAGCTCTGCCTCTTTGGGCCCACCTATCAACTGTCAATCAACTGGTGTACAGATTCCTGAGTCTGTATGTCTGTACGAGTGTGTTAGTCTTTTAGTTTGTTCGAGTGTGTGAGTCTGTTCGAGTGTGTGAGTCTGTTAGTCTGTTCGAGTGTGTGAGTCTGTATGTCTGTACGAGTGTGTTAGTCTTTTAGTTTGTTCGAGTGTGTGAGTCTGTTAGCCTACGAGCTTTTTTTTTTTTTCCTTCTTAGTTTTTACGTCTTACTTATTACAAATTTCTTATCTTTTTTAGCGTGATGCTTTTTAGCTTTTTCTTACTTTTTAAGCCATAAGCCAGTTTGAATGTGTCACCGTCCTTTAGTCTGGTGTGGCCCAGGCTCCTGAGCAACGCACGTCTCTGCTGACTATGGCCAAAGGGAAGAACACTGCACTCGGATAATATCAGATTTTGCAGAACAAAATATTAATTGGATATCAAATAATATTTAATGATGTGGCAGAAACAGTCTCAAGTATCTTCTTGGGTTATCTTCACATAAAGGACTTTGAAGGTATCAATAAATTTCATCAAATTATTTCAGGATAACATAATAGACCTGCGATCGCTGTATTGTTTCAAGCGTAGATTAGACATTTATATTAGTGTGTTTGAATGATGTAAATAGGAGAAGCTTCAAAATATTAATATGTTAATCTCCGTGAGGTTGTGGGCCGCTCAAGAACGTGAAAGTGATAACAACGAACAAAGCAATCACATTAACGTGATGTTAATGTTTATTTCTCTGTGCATTTGAAGAGAGGCGTTTGAGTGGAACTCCTATACCACCGCCAGACGATATGCGGAAAATGTATATGGAATCATGATTTGTTACCAAAAGATGCCTCAGGAACCCTAGAGGTTTCAGTCGAATCCCAGGTTACATTAATTTTAACATATCGTGGATTGAGGTGTGCATTTTGGAGCGCCCAGTGTGGAAGTTCGAATTCTCCTCATGGCTACATGAAGAGGAGGTTTTTCTTACTGATAACATCAACATAGTCTCCCTTAAGTCCTGGGCCTCCCATAGAACGTGACAGTAATAACAACATTGTCTCCCTCAGCTCGTGGGCCGCCAGAGAACGTGGCAGTGGTCGGGGAGTTCACCAACGCTCTCAATGTGTCGTGGGACCCGCCAGGGGAGGAACCTACTTATTATACGGTAGAAGCTGGAACCAGTAACGAAATTACACACGATACCTTCTTCCTTATAGAAGGACTGCAACCTTGTACACATTATAGTATTATCGTGACGTCTGTATACGAAGACAACGGTCAGACCTTCCAAGCTTTTACGGACGCCACAACAGCCATTTCAGGTAATACCAGCGGTGCTCTGGCGCCAGAAATTGTTAGTTTTTATTGCTCTTTAGTTTGATCAAAATGCATTTAACAACGTTTTTTATTATTTTATGTATTTTTAATTACATATTTTCTTCATAATCCTTAACAAATATTACCCAAACAGCAACCCGTCCTCAGCAAATGTTAATTACTACCAGCGGCCGACGCCAAGACGCCTTCATAAAGCCTAACAGGTTGTTCCTTCAAAATATAAATTTTTCCAAATATAAATTCAAATTATTAAATATTATTATACTGTGCATATTTAGGCATAGGTTAGGTTAGTTGTTTAAGTTCTGTTGGCGATTATATGTATTAGCCAATTCATCCTTCAGCCTCAGCAATAAGTATAATACTGACTTAGATTTAACTAATTTAGTGCAGATTTGACATATTCAGTAGACAACCTACTGACAGGATGAATCTTCCATACAGTATAATTAGAAACTTTTGAATGTAAATTAATATTAGAATACAGTAGGGGTTTATGTATAGTTAGGAATACGTAAGGTTTGGCAAGATTTTTTAATTACGGTGATTTAGTGAGTGTTTACACATAAGGGTGAAAGTGCAACTCAAACTTGGTGCTGTTAAAAATGAAGAACGGTTTACACACGACTCAAAACTGATGGCGTCCGAACGCTAACGGAACAAGTGGCTCGCTGACGACTTTTTTTCGAACCACAACGCTGGAAATGCTTCATCCACGTACTACAAATACAAATAATCGCCAACTGAACCTAAACACCTAACCTAACCAAAGCCTAAATATGCACAATATACTATTATATTACAATATTAATTTATATTTGAGAAAATTCCTATTCTGAATGAACAGCAATACAGCATGTTAAAATTAATGAATGCGTCTTTGGGATCGACCGCTGGATAGATTGGACTTGGTCTGTGGACGGGTTGGTTGACCGGCTACCAAACAGAGCATAAGTCTTCCGTTTCCAATAAGAAGTTCAGTCTCGGCTTCCAAAGCTTCAATATACAAAATATACCATAAATATTGTAATCATGGCTGGTGGCCGGACTGAACTTCACCATTTTCCCACAGTACCACCGGCACCACCAAGCTGTTGGTTTGACAACATTGACACCACCTCGATAACTGCCTACTGGACTGATCCACCCATTCAGTGTCCAGTTACCAACCACAACATTAGCTGGACGTCACACGTCCTCTGGAATGACATGGAGGACACCTCGAATGTCGCCCAAGCCACAGGAGACCACTACACAGTAAGAATAGGTCTCAAACCCTACTCCAATGTGACGGTCAGTGTGTCAGCCGCCACTGACGCAGGTTATGGTCCCTCCACAACCTGCTGGAATGTCACGCTTCAGGACAGTGAGTTACCTTTATATTGTTAGTTATTATTGTTGTGCTTGTAGGGTACCATAATAAAGTTGAATATATTCATATATAGACAAGAGGTCAACTCATCCCAGGAGCTGTGGGTCGCATCCCTTATGGTGTGGGTCACATCCCTGGTGGTGTGGGTCACATCCCTGGTGGTGGGGGTCACATCCCTGGTGGTGTGGGTCACATCCCGGGTGGTGTGGGTCACATCCCGGGTGGTGTGGGTCACATCCCGGGTGGTGTGGGTCGCATCCCTTATGGTGTGGGTCACATCCCTGGTGGTGTGGGTCACATCCCGGGTGGTGTGGGTCACATCCCGGGTGGTGTGGGTCACATCCCTGGTGGTGTGGATCACATCCCTGGTGGTGTGGGTCACATCCCGGGTGGTGTGGGTCACATCCCTGGTGGTGTGGGTCACATCCCTGGTGGTGTGGGTCACATCCCGGGTGGTGTGGGTCACATCCCGGGTGGTGTGGGTCACATCCCTGGTGGTGTGGGTCACATCCCGGGTGGTGTGGGTCACATCCCTGGTGGTGTGGGTCACATCCCTGGTGATGGGGTCACATCCCGGGTGATGTGGGTCACATCCCTGGTGGTGTGGGTCACATCCCGGGTGGTGTGGGTCACATCCCTGGTGGTGTGGGTCACATCCCTGGTGATGGGGTCACATCCCGGGTGGTGTGGGTCACATCCCTGGTGGTGTGGGTCACATCCCTGGTGATGGGGTCACATCCCTGGTGACATGGGTCACATCCCTTATGGTGTGGGTCACATCCCGGGTGGTGTGGGTCACATCCCTGGTGGTGTGGGTCACATCCCTGGTGATGTGGTAGTTATAGACTATGGATCTTTAAGGGTCGCGTGCATCTTGACTGTCCATCAATATTCTTGTTGGTCAGTTCCCACAATCAATTGACATAGAAGGAAATTAAATGGAATTTAATTTCCTTCTTTAATTAATTTAAAATATTCACACGGCAATTTAATTATCATTGGCCAAGAAAAAGAATTTATAAGAATATCTAAAATGGTATGTAATGTACGAGCGGTGATATATATATATATATATATATATATATATATATATATATATATATATATATATATATATATATATATATATATATATATATATATATATATATGCGAACAAGCCTGAATGGTCCCCAGGACTATATGCGAATGAAAACTCACACCCCATGAAAACTTGGGTTCGAGTCACTTCTGGGGTGTGAGTTTTCATTCATATATATATATATATATATATATATATATATATATATATATATATATATATATATATATATATATATATATATATATATATATATGACAGTGTCAGACCACGGAATTTCATTAAGTACTTTCGTATATTAATACATCTTCAGAAAGAGTGAAGTGCTGTCATCTATGGTGTGACTGGCCTCAGGCCAGTCACACCATAGATGAACGACTTCAAGCTGGGCATCCACACTGTGAACGAGCACCAGTGACTCCATAGCAAGTTCCAAATGCACACCTTCATGCACCACTTCGCCCCTCGCCGTGGGAGGTACTACCTCCCAACGCAGGGAGCCCACATCAGGAGGCACAGGGGGGGAGGGGGGGACATAGGAGCCAATGCGGAGCCCCCACACCAGCGCCACTATCCGCCGCGAGGACCTACGCCACCACCACCGCCGAAACCGCTCCACCAATATAAGGGGCAACCACGTCGTCATCAGATGACTCACAACTCGCGAACTCCTCTACATCCGCCCAGGCGGAGCCCGCCGAAGCCCTGTCAGGGAAAGAACGCCGGGAGTGCTTTGGATCCGGGCGTAGATCATCAGAACTTTCCACCACCACCGAATCCGATACCCGGGAGACTCTGGGAGGACGGTCCCTCGAGCATGCCATAGGACCTCAACAGTGGCGACGACATGGGAAACCGTCCCAACCCTAGCAGGCGGCCGCGATTCCTTACACCGCACTGACATGGCAGGGAGAAGCAGAGGGCTAACAGACACAGAAGGATAGGGTGGTAGATGTGCAGAAGACGGATGCAGAGGGAGGGCAACCAGCCGGTCCATACCCGCACCAGCACCCACAGAACACTCACTTGACGATTGCAAAGCATCCGGCGCTCGATCTCCACCAGGCTCAGGCGCCCCAGCCGACACACGAAGAGGCACATCATCTAAGGGCACTCTGCCATCCACGCCTCCCGACACCTCGGCAGCAGCCAGCGGCAGGAAGTCATCCTCTCGATAGAAATTCACCTTATTGGTGACACCGGCAGAACCTCCAGCAGCAAAGTGGCCTGACGTCCCACAGCGAAAACAAGTCCGTGGCTGCCGAGCATAACACACACGGATGTGGTACCCCCATGAGCCTAACCGAAAAAGGAAAGTCCGATCGAAGCCGCATATCCAGCATCCGGATGCTGTTATTGATGGCCCCCCCCCAAAATTCCCAGATGATATGACATTCATCCTCACACGCGACACAGTCCCAAACTGCCTCATCAGCACCTCTGGGAATTCAAAGGGAGCACCGTGTACACTGACATAAGTCAAAGCGCCACTGCGATCGGACACATAAACCGACCCAGCAGTTGACATAGAAGGCAGTTGAAAGGTCCGCCCTTCAAAGCTGCACAGAAAATCACGGAACACTTCCTCAGCAGTCAACTTCACCACCACTCGATGGATAGACACCATCTCCACTCCACAAACAGTAGCCACATTAACACCCAGTGCCTCACACAGCGTCAGCCCTACAGCAGGGTAATCAGTCCTGCCAGTGAACTTGAGGCCTACAGAATAGACCCGCAGCACCGAGATAAAGAGGCCCCAATTACGTAGCGCACCACAACAACCCCACCAGGGTCCGCCTACGACGCCGGATCACCAACAACAGGAGGAGGTCAGGGGTGCGACCTCACCCCTCGGCAGCCAGTGCGCCAGTTTATGTTAGTGGCCATTGTCATGATCTCCTTAACGTTGCCCGGTTATGACGCACACGCTCTAACCAAAATGGGTAAACCTAATTATTAATGCAAACTCATTTTCTATGAATATATGCTGTATAGTGGTAACAGTGTACTACTTAGGACTTATTTGGTAGGCACAGTACGAGAAAAGACAGTATAGAGTCGACCAGTGGCACAACGAGGCTGCTACTTAAGTCACCATAGTGCTTCTTCCCACAAGGTTCCCGGGTTAAATGAAGGAAACCTGTGCCTGTTACCAGGCCTTTACGAATCTACAGATAAGAACTAACCCATGTAGTAACCCAACTAACATTTTGTAGTTTTTTATGCACAACTGGTGGTATAGGCTATGGACGTACAGCAAAAGTTGTGGATTGGACCATTCCCAGTAGGACAAACCAGTGATATACAGTCCATTCCTAATATACAGTCTATTATCAATTAATTATTTTAAATTATATTGTTATTAAATTAACAGTACATAAATTATATTCCTGCTGTGAATATTTTACATGGCTCCCTTCCCTTACCTGAAACACCTGTACACTATTACAGTGCCCCCTGCCCTTACCTAGAACACCTGTAAACCATTATCGTGCCCCCTGCCCTTACCTACAACACCTGTAAACCATTACCGTGTCCCCTGCCCTTACCTAGAACACCTGTAAACTGGGTTGCCTAATGGGTGGCGGCTCCGAGCCCCAACGGCCCGTGGACCCAAGCCTGGCGATGGTGTATTATTTATATCCTGCACCACTAACATGTCTTTTTGGCTCCGGACCTAAAACTGCCGTTACACGAGGCTTACCAAGTGTTTCCCGAGACTTACCAAGTGTTACACTACACTTACCAAGTGTTACACTAGACTTACCAAGTGTTACACTAGACTTACCAAGTGTTACACTAGACTTACCAAGTGTTACACTAGACTTACCAAGTGTTACACTAGACTTACCAAATGTTAAACAAGACTTACAAAGTGTTACACGAGACTTAACAAGTGTTACACAAGACTTACCAAGTGTTACACTAGACTTACCAAATGTTAAACAAGACTTACAAATGGTTACATACTAAAATACAATTCATCACCATCTGCGTCCTAAATATTTCAGCATAGTGGCTGGGGATCTGAATTTCTTAATGTTTGTTTTACAGTACTCAGCAGAGCACAATGAATACCATCATTTACTGTTGCAACAATAGACAAAGAACGTGCATATATAACTTGAAGGTATATATACTAAATTTTAATGGGTTTGCTGAGGGATATTATCGGATATTTTCACCATTAACTTGTAAATGATTAAATATCACGTGTATATCCCTCTCACTAGTACCCGGAGCCCCAACCATCACTAACATCACGTCGTATGAACGTTCGCTGTACGTCTCCTGGTCACCGCCTGAGGAGGCAAATGGAGTGATCTTACAATATGTGTTCAGCTTTGAAAATGATCATTTTAAGAGCAACGAAAATGTGACTGGAAGTGTCAACACTGCTGCGTTTAGTGACATACCTGTCTGTGACACCTATGACGTCACGGCTCACGCTACCACCGAGGTAGGGGCGGGACCTGCGTCCGGAAGTTGGAATATTCACCACAGCGGCGCAGGTAAGTAAAGAAGATTAATACTTATCATATATTGAATATATATATGTATATATATATATATATATATATATATATATATATATATATATATATATATATATATATATATATATATATATATTATATATATATATATATATATGTATATATATATATATATATATATATATATATATATATATATATATATATATATATATATATATATATATATATATATATATATATATCCATCCATAGCTATATACATATACGAGGCAACCTCGTGTAGCGTAGAATGTTATACAGTCGGATGGAAAACCACATAATGTAAAAGTGTTAATTATTAAAAAAAAAAAACCTTGAGGTGTCAGCCTGACAGAAGACAAGAATGAACGAAATTGGCATTGAACAGATAAAATATATACCTTGAAGGTAATGAAGAGCTGACCCAAGTAAAGATGGTATACAGTTTTATAATACTGACGAGTGGACTGGAATATTTAGTATACCTCTATCTTGGGAATATATATATATATATATATATATATATATATATATATATATATATCCTATATATATGTATGTATGTGTGTATATCACGAAAATAAACACGTGATTAAGAATGTGACAATGTCAGACCACGGAGGAAAAATGAAACAGGAATTTCCTTAAGTACTTCGTATATTAAATACACCTTCTGAAGATGTATTTAATATACGAAAGTACTTAAGGAAATTCCTGTTTCTTTTTTCCTCCGTGGTCTGACATTGTCATATGTATGTATATATAAGTATAGTATATCCTGGGAAGTGGTATTGTGTACATAATGCTACAGGTCAGAGAGGGCGTACGTGAATGTAAACTTAGTGGACAAAAAGTCGGTTTATGAGAGTGCATGACTTCAGCGTGATTAGAGAAGTGAGAATGATTGATAGATAATTCTGTATTATAAGAATGATAACTGTATATCAAAGGCATTCGTGTTATTCTGAGGGATGACGTTAAGTTTCAGCTCCTTCAGTTTGATCAGTGTGTGTGCAACGAGTATTTGTTTATTGTCAGCTCCTGGTACCAGTTTAGTGTCAGCTCCTGGTACTAGTTTAGTGTCAGCTCCTGGTACCAGTTTAGTGTCAGCTCCTAGTCCCAGTTTAGAGTCAGCTCCTGGTACTAGTTTAGTGTCAGCTCTTAGTACCAGTTTAGCGTCAGCTCCTAGTACCAGTTTAGTGTCAGCTCCTAGTACCAGTTTAGAGTCAGCTCCTAGTAATAGTTTAGTGTCAGCTCCTGGTACCAGTTTAGTGTCAGCTCCTGGTACTAGTTTAGTGTCAGCTCCTGGTACTAGTTTAGTGTCAGCTCCTGGTACCAGTTTAGTGTCAGCTCCTGGTACTAGTTTAGTGTCAGCTCCTGGTACCAGTTTAGAGTCAGCTCCTGGTACTAGTTTAGTGTCAGCTCCTAGTAATAGTTTAGTGTCAGCTCCTAGTACCAGTTTAGTGTCAGCTCCTAGTACCAGTTTAGTGTCAGCTCCTAGTACCAGTTTAGTGTCAGCTCCTAGTACCAGTTTAGAGTCAGCTCCTAGTACCAGTTTAGAGTCAGCTCCTAGTCCCAGTTTAGAGTCAGCTCCTAGTACCAGTTTAGAGTCAGCTCCTAGTACCAGTTTAGTGTCAGCTCCTGGTACCAGTTTAGTGTCAGCTCCTAGTCCCAGTTTAGCGTCTACACCTAGTACCAGTTTAGAATCAGCTCCTGGTACCAGTTTAGCGTCTACACACACTCTCCCTTTCATTCCATGTGTGTGAGTTGGGTGATTTGTATCAGCCACGTCGTTATTACTTACTTTCTTGTTAATGATACGTTGCTTCAGGCAGAGTCATGTACTGTCAGTTGTCTCCCACCACAGTTCCGCCAAGTTCTGTCTCTTGTGTCCTCGAGGAAGGAGGTACTGAGACGTCGGTGTGCTGGACGCCTTTTCCCAGAGAATGTCTTGATGACCCCAGCACTCAATACGACATCACCTGGAAAGGGGACGTGTTGTGGTCCAGTGACACAGGTCTGTAATATGTGAGATGATAAAGCTTTTTTTTTATAAATTGAATATATATATATATATATATATATATATATATATATATATATATATATATATATATATATATATATATAATATATATATATATATATATATATATATATATATATATATATATATATATATATATATATATATATATATATATATATATATATATATATATATATATATATATATATATATATATATATATATATATATATATATATATAAAAGCTCATACTCATCATCTACATTATATTTTCTATCGAGGAATATATATGTTAGTGAATAGATAAGAAACATATAATAATAACATTAATTAAAGTTAAGATACCATAATACTGAATATTTTAAAACACAATGACAGCAAGATAAATAATTACAATGACAGCAACAGTAATAATTACAATGACAGCAACACTTATAATTACAATGGCAGTAACAGTAATAATAAATTTGAGAACAACAGTAATAATATAATTATGACAGTAGGCAAAGCATTCTAAATATTAACGTTAATTATTGCATTACAACATCACATAACATATAAAACGTTATGTCACATTACTTGTAATAAGTTACCCCACATAATGCATAATAAGTTACGCCACATAATATAACTTACATCACGTAATATATAATAAATATGGCGTGTGGTGTTTCAGACGATGGCAGCGGTTTCTTGCCTTGGAGTGAAGAGCCACAGCTGTGTTACACAGCTGCGACCTCTGTGCCCTACACCAGTTACAGTCTGTGTGTGGGTGTGAATGGTGACGTGACAGACACCGCGTGCTGCTCGGTCCAGACACCAGAGGCTGGTAGGTCAAACATTATTTCCCGTAACTGCCATTCATGTTATGTTGAACACACTATAGTTCAGTCGGCATTACATTAGTGATAAACTAATGGGCTAGGAGGAGCACGTGATGAATATTATGTGGATTTTAGGTGAATTATATCTTAGCTAGTAGCCTGATATAGCCGGCTTCTTTCTAATTATATCTTAGCTAGTAGCCTGATATAGCCGGCTTCTTTCTAATTATATCTTAGCTAGTAGCCTGATATAGCCGGCTTCTTTCTAATTATATCTTAGCTAGTAGCCTGATATAGCCGGCTTCTTTCTAATTATATCTTAGCTAGTAGTTTAATATAGCCGGCTTCTTTACGCCAGTATATCCGTCTGCTGTTTGTGAAACGTTCCAAGGTCTGCGTATACGACTTTATTGCTACGTTCTTGCTGTATTGTGCACTTTATTGCCGATTCTTTGTTTTATTTTAACCTTTATTGTTTAGCTATTTCTTTATTGTCGAGTAATTGGTTTATTGTAACCTTTACGGCCGAGTCGTTGCTTTATTGTGGCCCTTTATTGCTGACTCATTGCTTCTTTGTAACCTTCATAGCAGAGTCTTTGCGTTTTTATGATCTTTATTACCGAGACATTGTTTAATTTCCGTCTTTATTACCGAGTCACTGTATTGTTGTGATCTTCAGAATGCAGAATTTGTCTAACTTTATCCCGCGCGTCAAGACTATTTTCTTGAAAGATTGTTTTGTTTGGTGTATTTTATACACCTGTGTATTATACACCCGACTCCCCTCTAATTACAAGAGAATGTATTTTAACCATTTTATCATTGAATGCAATATTTTTGTTGCTCGGTGTAAAATGTCGGAGATAATTGCTTTCAAGAATATGTCTGTCCACTCTGAGGTGCGGTGACCAAATCTGTATATAATATTTTTTGTGTGTTTGAGTATATATAAATAGGAGCTGCCTCGTATGGCCCAATAGGTCTCCTGCCTTTTAATTTGTTGTTTTGGTTTTATATCAATACTTTCAAATGTGTTTATATTGTGTTGATTCGTTTTTTTCCCCACACCAGAGCCAGGCCCGCCTGTCAGTCTCACGGTGAAGCCAAATGAAGGATCAGCTTCTGTCTCCTGGCAGCCTCCTGATGAAGCCAATGGTATAATTTCAATATATGAAGTCCGGTGTGAGAGTGAACATGATTCTAAAGTTATAAATGTGACTGGAGAAGACAACAAGGCTGAGGTTGATGGCTTACAAGCGTGTGAGAACTACACCATCAGTGTGAGGGCGATGACTGAGGGCGGACATTGGGGACCCGAGTCTGACCTCTCGACTATTACCATCGACGGGCCGGGTAAGTGATAACAACCTCATGGTTGTGGCTACAATAATTATGAACAAATATATATATATTGTATTGCAAGACAATTCGTTAACACAATTCCTATTTATGCTGGGAACTGTATTGTTATTTTTTTTTATCGCAATTAAGGTTTAACACATTATACATGCTGGGAACAGAATTAATAACAAACTCCTCACCCACATATGTGAAACGAGATGAAAGTGAGGACATAATATGAAGTGAGGACATAATATGAAGTGAGGACATAATATGAGTCCAGAGTGACCAAAATGTTATCACTTTCCTGTCATACATGTGGGTCTTGATATGTTGACCAGACCACACACTAGAAGTTGAAGGGACGACGACGTTTCGGTCCGTTCTGGACCATTCTCAAGTCGATGGTCCAGGACGGACCACAATGTGAGAATGGTCCAGGACGGACCACAATCGACTTGAGAATGGTCCAGGACGGACCGAAACGTCGTCGTCCCTTCAACTTCTAGTGTGTGGTCTGGTCAACATACTTCAGCCACGTTATTGTGACTCCTCGCCTGCATATGGGTCTTGATATCTGTTCTAGCCTCGTTACTCTGACTTGTTCTCCTCTAAATTGTTATTGTTTGACGGTAGTGGCACCAAGTCCCGTGGAGTGTTCAATTGTAGACGGTGACGTGAAGGTGTGCTGGACGCCGTCTCCCCGCTACTGTCCCATGGACGGCTACACCGTCACCTGGGACGGCGCCAGGCTCTGGACACACAACACCGACCATGGTCAGTGGCTATCATGTTTACCTTTCTTTACTCACCAAGTTATAAGGCAGTCACAGTATAATCAACTGGACCCGAGATTCTCTTCCTATTTCATCACGTCTATACAAAATAAAAGTAATAGTTTGAGGAGTTATTGAACTTAACGTATGTCAGGCGTGAGTTATTGAACTCCAGTTATATCAAGTGTGAGCTACTGAGGTCAGGTCATTATTTTGTTTCAGTGGCTGGCAACAGCACAGAGCCTTGGGAGGACAAGAGTCAGAGCTGCCACCAGCTGGAGAGTTCTGTGCCATACGCGGCCTACAACGTCTGTGTCAGTGTGTCGGGCTATGACACAGTCGCCGACTGCTGCCAGAAACAGACGCCAACGGCCCGTAAGTCACATATAAATATACCTTTTAAAATCTGATTAATACATCTTGGCAAATAATAACAAGTATATATATATATATATATATATATATATATATATATATATATATATATATATATATATATATATATATATATATATATATATATATATATATATATATGTATATATATATATATGTCGTACCTAGTAGCCAGAATGCACTTCTCAGCCTACTATGCAAGTCCCGATTTGCCTAATAAGCCAAGATTTCCTGAACTAATATATTTTCTCTATTTTTTTTCTTATGAAATGATAAAGCTACCCATTTCATTATGTATGAAGTCAATTTTTTTTATTGGAGTTAAAATTAACGTAGATATTTGACCGAACCTAACCAACCCTACCTAACCTAACCTATCTTTATAGGTTAGGTTAGGTTAAGTAGCAGAAAAAGTTAGGTTAGGTTAGGTAGGTTAGGTAGTCGAAAAAACATTAATTCATGAAAACTTGGCTTATTAGGCAAATCGGTCCTTGCATTGTAGGCTGAGAAGTGCGTTCTGGCTATTAGGTATGACATTATATATATATATATATATATATACAATGTCGTACCTAGTAGCCAGAACTCACTTCGCCTACTATTCAAGGCCCGATTTGCCGAATAAGCCAAGTTTTCCTGAATTAATATATTTACTATAATTTTTTTCTTATGAAATGATAAAGCTACCTATTTCACTATGTATGAGGTCAATTTGTTTTTATTTGAGTTAAAATTAACGTAGATATATGACCGAACCTAACCAACCCTACCTAACCTAACCTAACCTATATATATAGGTAGGTTAGGTTAGGTAGCCAAAAAAAGCTAGGTTAGGTTAGGTTAGGTAGGTTAGGTAGACGAAAAAACATTAATTCATGAAAACTTGGCTTATTAGGCAAATCGGGCCTTGCATAGTAGGCTGAGAAGTGAGTTCTGGCTACTAGGTACGACATATATATATATATATATATATATATATATATATATATATATATATATATATATATATATATGTCGTACCTAGTAGCCAGAACTCACTTCTCAGCCTACTATTCAAGGCCCGATTTGCCTAATAAGCCAAGTTTTCCTGAATTAATATATTTACTATAATTTTTTTCTTATGAAATGATAAAGCAACCCTTTTCTCTATGTATGAGGTCAATTTTTTGTTATGGATAAATTAACGTAGATATATGACCGAACCTAACCAACCCTACCTACCTACCTAACCTATATTTATAGGTAAGGTTAGGTTAGGTAGCAAAAAAGCTATAGGTTAGGTTAGGTAGGTTAGGTAGACGAAAAAACATTAATTCATGAAAACTTGGCTTATTAGGCAAATCGGGCCTTGAATAGTATGAGAAGTGCGTTCTGGCTATTAGGTACGACATATATATATATATATATATATATATATATATATATATATATATATATATATATATATAAAATTAAGGAAGGATTAAGACAGGATTTTCTTTAAGTACTTTCGTATTTATTAATACATTTTCAGAAAGATAGATTTACAGTTGAGTGGGGTGGATATAGAGGGAGGAAAGAGGTGAGGCGAGGTACAATGTCTTTAACGAGAAAAGGGAATATTAATACGGTATCTGTGTATCAATGACCCAACTCAACTTTTCCTTTAAATGATCAATCAAAAATGGATCTAAATTTGACACACCAATGCAAATGTTACAATTACAAGATTTTGTAATCTGTATTAAAGCAGATTCACGTACATATATTAAATGTATTAATTCGTTGAAATTACAGAAAATATTAATCTTAGGAAGATTTAAATTGTGTTGACTGTTCTCCAGTTCCTGGGCCGCCCGTCCTCAAGGGCCTACAGGTACAGGACACATCAGTGACTGTCACGTGGGACGGGCCAGAGGAGGAGAATGGTGTGATAACTGGCTACCTGATCACTTCCATCGACCAAAACGGTGACTCCGTGAACCAAAAAGCGAACCAAAACGAATACTCAAGCACGTTTGACAATCTCAGGCGATGTGCGAACCACACAATCACCGTTCAAGCACAGACTTCCCAAGGCTACGGTACTCCATCTAAGGAAAGTTATGCTGTCATCCCAAATACATGTGAGTGTCTTTTGTCAGTGTAAATGCCTGAATTTCTGTGTCAGAATTGTTTGTGACCTGTATCTGTTTACTGTCGAAATGGGTCACTTTCTGTCAGTAACGTCATTCGCGACACTTTATCCTGTTTTTTGAGAGCTGATGAATTGATGTTCTGGGATGAGAGTGTAATAATTAGAACAGATTCCGTGGTGTTGACTGATTCATCAGCATGATCCTTCACCTTCCTTTTAAAGATTTTTGTTACATAAAATAGTTTAGTTTGTCAAGTGAAAGAAATGTTCAGCCATGTCCAACGCAATATTGTTAGTTTCATAATGAGCACAAAGACTAACAACTTTAACCACAGTTGCAGACACCGGGATGACTTGTAGCCATGATGAGTCTCGACAAGTGAGTCTCTCCTGGAGCCTGGAAGTGCCGGACTGTCCCGTGTCCCAGTTCCTCTTAGTCTGGAACACTACCGTTAAGTGGTCCAACGAGCACAGTAAGTGTTCACTCTTGCTACAGAGTCACTTCGTAAGCACCTTTAATATCTGTTGCTTGGAACTTTAGGTGAAACTTAGAAATTGCTCAGAAATAGGGGAAACAAAATACTATTTCATTCACCTTAATATTAAAGTTCCAAGATCCATCGAAATGTGGATTTAAACAATAATATGAGGTGGATAATGGGTTAATAACCACCAGACAGCGCTGTGGTGCTCTAGAGAATGTTTACACCTCAGCTTGAGTATCAGTTTGATGCTTACTGATACCTTATAGTCAGCGTCCTCTCTCGTTGGTAGAGTCAAGTAATTTGCAAACCTGAGTTCAATTTCCCGAGGACTCAAAAATTGGAAATATTATTACTAGTTGGAAATATTAATATTACAGGGAGGGGGGGAGGGTGTCTGTGGTGATAGACAGTGAGGGAGGAAGGTGTCTGTGGTGATAGACAGTGAAGGGGGAAGGTGTCTGTGGTGATAGACAGTGAAGGGGGAAGGTGTCTGTGGTGATAGACAGTGAGGGGGAAGGTGTCTGTGGTGATAGACAGTGAGTGGGAAGGTGTCTGTGGTGATAGACAGTGAAGGGGAAGGTGTCTGTAGTGATAGACAGTGAGGGGGAAGGTGTCTGTAGTTATAGACAGGGAGGGGAAAGATGTCTGTGGTGATAGACAGTGAGGGGTAATCTGTCTGTGGTGATAGACAGTGAGGGGGAGGGTGTCTGTGGTGATAGACAGTGAGGGGGGAAGGTGTTGGTGGTAGTGATAGACAGGGAGTGGAAGGGAGGAACAAAACTGCTACTATCATCTCACAAACAAACAGTGACAAACAGTAACAATTTTATTACTTCCTCCAAATCCCCCTTTAATTACCAACACTACACTGAACCAACACTCGTACAGGTCGGTGGAACAACGGCCTCGCGCTTAATGCAGGTCGCAGTTCGATCCCCGACCGTCCAAGTGGTCGGGTACTATTCCTTCCCTCCGTCCTATCCCCATCTCCTTCTCATATCCCTCCCAAGTGCTGCGTTATCATAGCTTGGTGTTTTCTCCTCATACTTATCCTTATTTTAATCAATAATATTAACAGCATATAATTTTTATTAATGATTTAAATAATATATTTTATTGAATGTTATATATATGTAATTATTGATTGTATTAACAATAATATAAATATTTGTATTATTATTATAGCAATTATTATTTGTGTCGGGAACATTTTCAGAGAGAAAATTGGAAAGTTATGTGAGATAACTTTCAGAAATATAATTTAAATTTATCGCTGTGACCCAGATGTATGGTATAATATAATTGTTTGAGCGACCATTAACACCTGCGTTTCTCAGGCCCACTAAAGCAGACAATAAAACACCTGTTTTTCTCGGCTCCTCCCACTAGAGCAGAAAATAACACACCTGTGTTTCTCTGGCCCACTTAAGCAGACAATAAAACACCTGTTTTTCTCGGCTCCTCCCACTAGAGCAGACAATAACACACCTGTGTTTCTCTGGCCCACTAAAGCAGACAATAAAACACCTGTTTTTCTCGGCTCCTCCCACTAGAGCAGAAAATAACACACCTGTGTTTCTCTGATCCACTAAAGCAGACAATAAAACACATGAGTTAAGTCCTCCCATTAAAACCCATGTGTGTGTGTGTGTGTGTTGCTCAGGTCCCGCCGCTCAGGTGACCATTGACGGGAGAAACACCAGCTACGTGCTACAACCGCTCAAGCCAGACACGCAGGTGTTAGCGTGCTTGAGCCGCGACGATGAATCAGGACCAACCACCTGCTGCTCCAGCACCACACCCGAGGACAGTGAGTACTAGTGTCCCGGTAGAGCGTCGATTTGGTTTACGGAATCGACTAATCCGTTTAATTAATAATGCTTAATATTGACGTTCTTCTCTTCATCGGCCTCGGTAGGTTTAATAGGCTCGGCAGCGAACATTTCACATTATCCCGAGATTAACACTTGCTGTGAGATTACAATGGAGAGAACTGTAATGGCTCTGGTGATTGGGAGGATATCTAGTGTCAGGAGCCATAGTATTTGCCCATCTCACATGCTAGTGTCTCAGCTTGTGTTGTTCTCAGTTCTCAGCTCAGCTAGTGGCCAGGCCGGGAAGAGTTGCTGAGACTGTGTGTGGGAATGGGCGTCTATTGAGTTTTTAACTAAGATGAAACGTGCCCGAAGGAGTTTTATTTATTTATTTTCGTTTATTGGTCAAGATTGTTCCTTTTTGAGAAGGGGGGATAAAAGACAATGATTAGAGGCGCTCGCAAGCATCCCTCTTGTCCTCTATTCTCCATCGTCGAGCAACGAGTCCTTAGCAGGTCTGATGTGAGTGGCAGACCAAGTGTTAAGGGTCTGTTATTGGGAATGTATTTGTGTACATATCCTAATCTCTCTCTCTCTGTCTTTATCAACACCAGTCTGTCTCTCTTTCATTGTCCCCTTTCTCTGACTTTAAATCCAAATCTGTCTGTTTCTGTCCCTGAATCTGCATCTGTCTGTCTTTCTCTTCGAGTGTAGGAGAGGGAGGCACAGAAGCCTAGCGCCCTACAACAGCAAAATTACTGACTTTGGTCCACGCTAATTAAAGGTACAAGTGTCTGTCAGCTCCAGGAGCTATATACCCATATCCCTTTAATACTGATATACGGTTTAACTGTTAATAACATTTAACACGAAGGAAGACGTTTGGCCTCCAGTTTTAAGTGCGGCCGTAGAGCAAATGTTGATGTCCGCCGGTAGTACATTATACAACTTGACTCATGTGTTGATAAAGCTATTAGAGCTCGACGTAGTAAACAGAAGGTGTAAGACACACGTTCTCACTGACCAAATAAAGTGCTATTGTTTAAGACAGTAAAAACGTCTTGAGTGATTTTATGTAACCATTTTCAAGCTCCCACTCAAACTGAAGGATGATTTTGTTTGCTAAATATCTGGACAAAATTACACCACCATTTCTAAATGTATCACCTGTGCTTATTCTCAGAGTTTAACAGGATACTCCTGATGAAACCACCACGAAATTGCATTCCTTAAACTTCTACTCCTATAAAGTGAGATCGCAAGACCATAACTGCCATTTTTAAAATTTGGGCCTCCGGCAACTTCCGCCAATTACCTATTTTCTCCTTATATCTCTTAAGACACACAAGAAACATATATACAACACCATTTCCTTTCCCTGAACAATTGTGAGAAAACGACAGCTGTTACATATAAAAAATCCTGTAGCCCACGTCTCAGGAGAATTAACATGAGGCAACACATTTTCACCCCAAAAAACTCATCAGGAATCCACCTCACTTTTCCCATCTTAAGAGGAGACTATCACTCTTAGTGAGCCCTGACCCGGGAGAAGCTGTACGTCACCTCGACACAACTGTGGAGACCCACCTGCTGACAACCCGTCCTTAGACCAAGTCTATTCTATCCAGCGGTCGACCCCAAAGATGCATTCATCAATTTTAACATTCTGTTCATTTAAAATAAAACTTTTCTCAAACATAAATTAATATTATTATATATTAGCATTTTGTGCATATTTAGGCACTGGCTACATTAGGTGATTAGGTTCTGTTGGCGATTATTTGTTTTTGTAGTACGTGGGTGAAACCTGACCTCGACTTAAGTCCATTACATCCAGCGGTCGACCCCACAGACGCATTCATAATTTTTAACATGCTCTTCATTCAAAACGGGAATTTTCTCATATATAAATTAATATAATAGTGTATTAGCATATTGTGTATATATAGGCATAAGCTAGGTTAGGTTAGGTGTTTGGGTTCTGTTGGCGATTATATGTATTTGTAGTACGTGGGTGAAGCATTTACAGCGTTGTGGTTCGAACAAAATTCGTCAGTGAAGCTCTTGTTCCGGAAGTGTTCGGACGAAATCAGTTGTGAGTCGTGTGTAAACCGCTTTTCATTCATAAATAGGGGGTTTGGCGGGTGCATGGAATCACTTTTGGGTCTTTGTTTGAAGGCCGGGTTTGGCTGGGGATGGTCCTGGGGCTCCGACCCCTTGAGGGCTCACCCTCTCACGCACATTGCTTTATCAGTCCCTCCTCCAAACGAAGACCCAAAAGACTTGAGAGCTCTCTCTTTCTCTCTCGAGAGAGAGAGCTTGACCCAGGCATGGCTATAAATAGCCATGCCTGGGCCATGCGCTTTCACAGACCATTACTAAGACATGTTATACCTGGTTGATACCTGGTTGATGGGGTTCTGGGAGTTCTTCTACTCCGTTGCAACGTGACTTGTGAGAGTTTGGTCCACCAGGTTGTTGCTTGGAGCGGCCCGCAGGCCCACATACCCACCACAGCCCGGTGTTATGCTATAGCCCATTATGCTATAATGTTCGTGGAAAATTTTTCCACAGCTTTGCTTGTGTCTAGCGTATTAAGGAGATGGAGCTTCACAGAGAATCAGTGTTGCTGCGACTTGTTTACGATGTATGTGTTTCAGTTTACAAGATATGCGCTACTTGTAAAACTTGAGCTATTTGGGTCAGCCGAAAATTTTTGCTTTGGAAGTGCTTGAGCACTATATAACATCATCTTATATGTGTGGTCATGCTCAGGTTTCTTGGTTAGGTTATGTTAGGTTTGGTTGCTGAGTGAATGGCACAGTTGAATTAGTATCTGGAAGGTAAACTGCTATATTACTGGAAGATTTATCAAGTAACAAAGAGACCAAACAGATATGATTACCTTCCAGATACAAATATTTGTGTTTTAGAAAGTAATTACGAATAAAATCAAGGTTCAATTGAATTAAAATATATTCAAATTATTTGTTTTTACATTTCAATCTCATCTCAATAAATATCTTACAGTACAAATCATGCTCAAGACCACATTAGGACAATTAAATACTTTTAAATACTTTTCAAAATTTTTTGCCTTGCACGTATTCAATGTCTTCCAGTTCCTGGGCCGCCCGTACTCAAGGACCTACAGGTACAGGACACATCAGTGACTGTCACGTGGGACGGTCCAGAGGAGGAGAATGGCGTGATAACTGGCTACCTGGTCACTTACACCGACCAAGACGGTAACTCCATGAACCAATCAGCGAACCCAAACGAATATTCAAGCACGATAAACAATCTCAGGCGATGTGCGAATTATTTAGTGAGTGTTCAAGCAGAAACTTCTGCAGGCTTGGGAGACTCTGATGGAAGATCTGCTCCCATCCCAAATACATGTGAGTGTCTCTTGTTTCTGTTAGATAATTAATAACCCTTTCTGTTCAAAATGTCAAGGTACAATAGTTGATATATATATATATATATATATATATATATATATATATATATATATATATATATATATATATATATATATATATATATATATATATATATAATATATATATATATATATGTGTGTGTGTGTGTGTATCCAGATACCAGATATATCTCCAGAATTAAAATGGAATTCGTGACATATTTAGTAAAGCATGCATGTTGCTATTATGTGCAACAGATGGCGCTGCTTTTCAAAAACGCATGTTTTTACCTGTCACAGGGGTGGCATCTATATACTTGGTATATAAAAAGACTCGCTTATTCGAATGGAACGTTGTGTCAAAATTTCAAAGCAATCGGTGAAGATTTTTCTGAGATTACAGCGTTTGTTGCTCTTTCGTCCAACAAATGGCGCTGTTTTTTCCTGTCACAGGTGAGGCATGTATATAGTACGTATATAAAAACACGCGCCAATTCGAATGCAACGTTGTGTCAAAATTTCAAAGCAATCTGTAATGAAGTTTCGAAGATTTCCCTCACATGAAAATCACATGAAAAACACAGTTTTTCCAAAACAACATGTTTTTGTCCCGTCACAGACATGACATCCATATAGTATTTTTTAAAAACCCACTCGGATGCAAATGGAACGTTGTGTGAAAATTTCAAAGCAATCGGTGATGAAGTTTCGGAAATTAGCGGTGTTGAACAAACGAAAATTTACATTTTTATTTATATAGATATATACATGGGAAATAAACTTTCACCCCTTGATTGGGTGATTATCATGAGCAAAGACTAATGAGTACGCACTCCGAGATTGTCAGGTGTGGCGGGTGTGTGATGGTCAGGTGTGGTGGGTGAGTGTGTGATGGTCAGGTATGGTGGGTAAGTGTGTGTGATGGTCAGGTATGGTGGGTGTGTGTGTGATGGTCAGGTATGGTGGGTGAGTGCGGGTGTGTGATGGTCCGAGTCAGTGTGTGTAGTAGCAGGAAGCGATTGTGCACAGCGTACAAGATGTACGGAAGAATAACACTTGTTTATAAAGTAGGAATTGTTCACACGTTTATATATATCCACTCATGGGAAGCACTCACTCACCCTCCCAATAAATCCACTCTCCAATTATTACACCATAGACCTCTATGTAAAAATATAACAAGTCTGAAAATATCACCTTGTTAATTAAGAAAACGATATGAAGTATATTAAAGCAATATACTATTTTTGTGTATTGAAGCTGTGTTCTGTCTCTTCTGATACATATATTTGTTTTTATATTCCTTAGTTTTTATTTCATTAACTATTAAATTAACATTATTTTTATTTCATTATGCATTTAGTTTTTATTTCAATACATTTTATGTTTTAGCTACAAATAAGTATCATTTAGCACTGCATAAAGGAGGTCTGTTCTTGAGCCCTTGGAAGCCATGCTTGTTGACATTAATACAAAGACTAACAAATTTAACCACAGTTGCAGACACCTGGATGACTTGTAGCCATGATGAGTCTCGACAAGTGAGTCTCTCCTGGAGCCTGGAAGTGCCGGACTGTCCCGTGTCCCAGTTCGTCTTAGTCTGGAACACTACCGTTAAGTGGTCCAACGAGCACAGTAAGTGTTCACTCTTGCCACAACTGTATTTCCTTACTAACTTTACTTTTGCATTATTGCTTGGAACTTTTGGAAATAAAAATAGAATTGAAATGAAATGAAGGTCACCAATAACATCGTAAGAGGAATAAACTGCTGTGGGACTTTGACCAATGGTCGCACGCCACCCCCTGGCCCGCCTCCCTGATATTTCTTCCAATCACCGTGCAGCACGTGGCACGTAACTATTGGCCGAGCATGACGGAAGTGGGAGGAGCTTCAATCAATTTAATCTAATTAAATATACTGTGACGTGATACGCTTCTGCGGTCGTAGCGGGCCGATGGAATGTCTCACATGCAGTAACAGCAATTTAAAGTAAACTGCATTGGCCTTTGCAGTGTGAAAAGTGGCCAAGCGTTAAAGTAAACTCAGACAAAAAATATAAATTTACTTAAACACAAACAGAAAGAAATAACAACTGAATTACAACAACACTTACCTGACACCTCTTGGCTGTTACACAATAGCAGCCGGGACCATTATACACTTAGACCCACCACCCCGGGAGACTGGGAGGCAGAACAACACGCCCCAGCCAACACCCCCACCGGCGCCTCCTGAGTCTAAGAGGCTGAAAATCATCCTCTAGGAATATATTTACGCGGTCAGCCGGGGCAACGGAGCAAGCCACCGACAGGTGACCCTGCAAGTAAGTAATTATCAATAGAAGGCACCAAACCGGGAGGTGACCCTGCAAACCACAACGATAAAACGTACGTGGCTGGCGTCTTTATAGATAGCAGAGCGTAAACCCCATCAGGGACAACAAGGACGGTACGCTCTGCGCCAGGGACATTGTCAGAGTCCTGGTCCCCAGCAAGCATCCCCGCACCATGGCAGGCAGAGACCTTGTTCCACCGTATACTAAGCATTTTTCTAAACTGCCCAAACAGACTGGTCAAAAGCCCATCCATCATTTCGAACGTGGCTCCACGCACCGCCACGTAAGTCAATGTGACACTCAGGTTAACCACCGGTACGGTTCCCGCTCCATTAGGCAGAGAGGAAAAACGCCCCCTCACACCGACCGAGGAACATTTGAAACACATCTTAATGTAGAAACTTAACCATCACATGGCGGTCCTGAAAAAGCTGATCGCCTATCAAATCAGGCAACTTGACACGTAGCACGTCTACCAACTCAATACCAGCCAACGTATGGTCCACCGGCAAGGAATAAACTAAACCAGCAGAGGTAATCCTCTTCAACGGAGGCAAGGTAGACCCCTCATCCTGGAATACTCTCACCCCGCACCAGCAGGGCACCAAAACAGACCCGACCCAGCCACACGACCTCCACCACAGCGGCGTGCGCACCAACTGAGGAGCCAAAAATAAACACGCCTGGCTCAAGTGGCCAGGCGACCAATCACGTCTTGGAACTAGTCACCGGCAGTATAACAAACACACCTGCGATGGGCTGACGGTAGGGATGATATGCTCCCGGTGGGAGCATATCTAGACAGGTGTCAGGACCTGGCTTACACTCCAAAACATACGTTTTATCAACTGCAGTTCATGATGGTGTGGAGTTGGCGTCGGGAGTAGCTGTCAGCGACGATGGTGAGGCTGACGAGGCAATTTACCCGGCTATGTAGGAAATTATGTGACAATACAAAATAATCAGAATAAGACGTGGTCCGATATATTAATAATAAGATCTAACTTAGCACTTATAATAAAGACTATACACTAAGTAGGTCCTGTTTAAATCCTCCCCAAACTAATCTATTCTCGAAACCTGTTAATCTGCTTGTCTCAAATCTCACGGATGCTAGTTAGCCGCCCATTCCCCTCAACCACAATCCTAATACATCCAAGTGAGTTGATCTACTACGAAACGAGAAGCAACAAATCCACAACTATATGTTAGTTGTCATTTTAATACCATATATTATTATTATTATTATTATTATTATTATTATTATTATTATTACTATATTACAATTAATCATTTGTCTATTTTGTGGTATGCTTGTCAATTAATAATAACGTTTACATATAGAAATGAGGGATCACTATTTACAAATTCTCCGGAAATAATAAAGTTCGATGAAAACATAATGTATTACATAAGACAAGTGTGAGGGTTGGAAGACAATTGACACAAGACTCGCTCCTCAGGTGATTTCACCACGACGCAGCTTGCTGGGGACAAGGTCAGCTACGTGCAATATGGCCTCAAGCCCTACACGGATATGACAGCTTGCTTGAACATTGACACACAAGAAAGCAAGAAGATATGTTGTACCGGCACGACTGCAGAGGAGGGTGAGTATATTATCCCATGACAATGTGATTTAGAATGGATATATGTGTGTCATTTGCATTGCCATATGCAATATGGCATTTCGGGTGAAGCTGCGTTAGGTTTCGCCTGCCGTGGACTAGTCCATGTATGTCTGTATGTATTATTTGTGTAATATACATTAAATTGTGCGTGAGTGTACTGTTTGTTCCATGCTAATCTGTGCGTACTTGTGTATTGTCTACACTGCAAAATGCAAGAATACACCTTGCCACTCTCAAGTCCATGTATACCTGTGAATTGTTTGTATACACGTGAACACTCAGCAAAGTACTTGTGAATAACCATGAACAGTTTATCAATCTTCAGCCAAGCACGGATTACTCTGAATCCTTACCCACAGACATATATAATCCCTACTGCACAATTTCAAGCATTGTACAGTGTGAACACCTGTCTCACTAACACTCCTGTGTGTGAACACCTGTCTCACTAACACTCCTGTGTGTGAACACCTGTCTCACTAACACTCCTGTGTGTGAACACCTGCCTCACTAACACTCCTGTGTGTGAACACCTGTCTCACTAACACTCCTGTGTGTGAACACCTGTCTCACTAACACTCCTGTGCGTGAACACCTGTCTCGCCCACTCTACCACGCACAATCCTCTGTTTGAACACCTGTCTCGCCCACAGCTTCACACACACACTCTTCAGGGTGAAGAGTGTGTGAAGCTGTATTTCTGTACATGGATGTATTTATATATATGTACATGTGTATTCAACATTAACAATTGTGTAAGTTGCTTCAAAAGTGTGTCACTTGCTGAATCTATTATGTGCCTCTGTAACCCTTTCCACCACCGCCCAGGGGATGATTAAGGGGGTGCATACTAAAGAAAGAAATTGAATTGAAATCGGGGAAAAACGACCCGACTTTAATGGTTCCTCTCGTCTCTCCCTGCTTGGACCACGACCAGACCCTTCCGCTCCCGTCAACTTGAGAGTGAAGAGCCACACCGCCTCGGAGGCCACCGTCGCCTGGTCACTCCCCGAGGACCTCAACGGCAAGTTAGACTCCTGGTTCATCACTTGGAGTGGCAATACCGATGGCAAGGTAGACATTGCTCCAACATTATATACTTACGAATTACAAGATTTAAAGTCCTCTTCTACGTACACCATCAGCTTAATGGTAAGACTATTGGCTATGCGTTATTGTATGTTTGAACCGTTGTTTAGGGTATGTGGTATATGATGTTTGACCTTTGTTGTCTATTGACGCATTAACGAGGAGTTAAAAACGAAATTTGACAGTTCTTTCATTAATATTTTATTTCTCTGATGACTTTATCGTTTACAATCTCTCCGCTCTCCTCTGGGTGAATAATATTGGTTCTATTTTCTTGCGTCATTTTGAATGAATTTGCGTTTTTCGCTTCATATTTTAACTTGCATATATTTGGCTAGGAATGTAACTATTTTTTTTTAAACTGACGCGAGACCGAGCCGATGGGACATTGATCCTCGGAATAACGTTCATGTACCCTCGTGGTGAGGTAACATAAAGCAGGTGTGACAACTGTTGGTGGTGGTTGGGCTCGATGCTGGTGAAGCTCCTCCTCTTTACTACTGATGAGTGACCCAACTGCAGTAGTTAGTACTACTGCTATATTACGACTACTGTTCTCATTACTACTGAGACTGAACAGACCCACACGAGCCCCTGATGAGGGTTCGAACCTATGTGTTGAGTGTTGACCAAGCCACACACTAGAAGGTGAAGGGACGACGACGTTTCGGTCCGTCCGTCAAGTTGACAATCGACTTGAGAATGGTCCAGGACGGACCGAAACGTCGTCGTCCCTTCACCTTCTAGTGTGTCGTCTGGTCAACTTTCTTTAGCCACGTTATTGTGACTCATCGCCTGCATATGTGTTGAGTGTTCCTAGACGCTCTCTTGTCCACTGTATCACAATATGTCTATACTGCTACTACTGTGATATACTACTACTGTGTTTGTGTGTATACTGCTACTACTGTGATATACTACTACTGTGTGTTTGTGTGTGTACTGCTACTACTGTGTTTCTGTGTGTACTGTCCAGTCAGTATTGTTGACCCTCCCGGTCCAGTCAATACTGTGTCCGTTGCATCCCTGTGGCCTTTACCATACGGGATGACCCTATCTTTTCGCAGCCTGAGCTGGCGAATATTTACGTAATTCTCACAAATCTAACTTCCAATTCCATCTCTCAAGGCCAGAAATGGGGCTGGAGTTGGCGCTCCAGCCACTGTTGAAGTCACCACTGACAAGTCCCCCACCAACGTCGGGCTGATTGTAGGGGTCACCTTGGGTGTGTTGACTGGGATTGTGGTGGTGGGAGCCGGAGTCTTTTTCTACTACAGGAAGAAGAAGCACAGCAACACAGGCAGCGCTGAGAGGTAAGTGTCTCGAATGTTTTGATCGTAACCCCTGGGGGGCTGGTTCTGCTGTGATATTCTTTTACCCATTAGTTTTAAGCTTTAGTCATTAATGTTTTTCCTGCCCGAAACGCTTTGCGTAATAGTGGCTTTAGGCATTGTATGTATGTATGTTCGTGTGGTAGTCGCGAACTCGTAGCCTGGTGGATAGCGCGCAGGACTCGTAATTCTGTGGCGCGGGTTCGATTCCCGCACGAGGCAGAAACAAATGGGCAAAGTTTCTTTCACCCTGAATGCCCCTGTTACCTAGCAGTAAATAGGTACCTGGGAGTTAGTCAGCTGTCACGGGCTGCTTCCTGGGGGTGGAGGCCTGGTCGAGGACCGGGCCGCAGGGACACTAAAGCCCCGAAATCATCTCAAGATAACCTCAAGAAGATCATCGTGGGTTTTCGTGCAAATCGTTCCCTTGATACAACGTCGCATTTTGACGTACACTTTAAGGTCAAAAATTGTCGTACTAGAAAATGGGAGAGGCTCGCGAAATTGACATACTGTCCCGTTTTATGTTTCGGGTTCTCTCTCGTAGGTTAGGATAAGGGCACTGTAGTGCGGCAGTTTCTTGGGGAAATCTTAGAAGGACGGGCTGCTCTGTGAGTCTTGTGTCATGAAACTTTTAGATTGTTAGAATGGGGAGAATTATGCCAGCTGGTTCTGACTTGGTTTGCTACCAGCGCTCTGCTTTGAGTACTCTTTACCACACAAACGCAACGACTAGTCGTTGTGCTCACAAACAACGACTAATCGTCGTGCTCACAACACACCCACAAGGATTCGGCGTCGTCGGCTCTTCACCACACATAGAATTTTCATGTTTAGCGTTATAGAAATATTTTCCTAAATTTCTTTTCACAGAGTCCTATCCTTTCAGATCATCTAAATAAACAAAAACATAAGTATTGTTGAATTATTTACTAGAAAAAGCATTTAAAGGATGATTTTTTTACTTTTGTTAAATTCAAATATGACTCAACTCTATCTCTGGGAGTTCACTGAAACTGTTGTCATCTCAGCGAAAAAAATGACAATTTATTTGACAATAAAGGGTAAATATTTAACAATTATTTACATTTATTGCTAAGAAAGAGAAGGAATCAAAATACTCTATCGAATCTATATGCAAATTAGGGCAGAGCTAAAACAAAAGAGGCCCAAGAGCCGCCGTCCTTCGTCATCGCTAATCTGTAAACAAAGGCGACGTATAGGACAATACTGAGGCAATGTGATGGGATCAAACTCGCATCAAATAAAAAAAATGGTATATAATATAAAGGAAAGCTTTATCATTTCATAAGACAAACTCGGCTTATTAGGCAAACCGGTCCTTGCATACTAGGCCAAGTAGTGCATTTTGGCTATAAGGTAGAACTTATATATATATATATATATATATATATATATATATATATATATATATATATATATATATATATATATATATATATATATGTCGTATCTAGTAGCCAGAACGCACTTCTCGGCCTACTATGCTAATCTGTAAACAAAGGCTGTAAATCTGTAAACAAATTTATCGATGATTTCTGTGTTGCTTGTTAAGATTTCTCTGGTGATGGTCTGGTTGTGAGAAGAGAACCAGAGCCAGAAGAGAATCTCTTCTCACAACCAGACCATCACCAGAGAAATTTTAACAAGCAACACAGAAATCATCGATAAATACAGCGATTGCAGGAGACTTGACATCAGCGAAGCACTGCACATCAAAAAGTCAACACCAGCAATCAACAGCCAATTAATGCACAACTATAATCTACCCACTTCAAGACCCCGAACCAACAGAGAAGCAGCAAGAGAAAGTATGGACCAATAGGCCTTCTGCAGTTACTTCCATTCTTATGTTTTCATACCCATTGATTCGTTTTCTAATATAAGTATATATATATATAAGTATATACAGATAGGATAGGATATCTAGATGGATAGATCAATAGATGGATGGATAGATAGAGAGATGGGAGACATACAGACAGACGCGGTCAATGCCAGGTAACCCCCACCCCCCCTGTACACAAATACATATTGTAATGTGTGTATTCCTTTTTTCAGGAACAGTCAACGGAATATGAATCAGACCGGGGCTGCTGGAAGCAACAGTGGTGCTAAGTCAACATACAGTAAGGGTCTAGCCAACGGCAGTTCCGTCCCTCGTGATGATTCGCCGACTAATACCATTCAGTCGTCGAGGTATTACGGGATGACGAACGGCAGTGCATCGGCAAGTGAGAATTATCTCACAGATGCCTTTGAATTATCAAGACTTAATGCATTGAAAAAAGGCTACGTCACGCCAAGCCGTAATGGGATGACGAACGGCACCGTAACTTCAACACAATACGAGAGCACAAATGACACTATTTATGGTATACCGAGACTCAGTCCCCGTCCGCCTGTTGAGAGACGGAGAGCGCCGCAACCCGCCCGACGGAATGACCCGGGTACAGGCAGTGATGCCAACACAAGCCATTTTAATCATAGTCGCGATCATGGATTTCAACGCCAAAACAATGTTGGCAGGAATGGTCATATAGGAGAGAACCGACCAAGAGATCCATACAGCACAGCCGGTAGTAGAACCACCTATTTTCCTTCGCAGAGTCGAACGGGATATTATTAAATAATTCTCCGCACAAAAACTTGCATATCTGCTTCTGTTGATTAATCTAATATGAAAATTTTGTGCTGAGAATTAAGTGGAGGAGACCAAGGGACGTAATGTTAGGTAATTATGAGGAGAAAGCGCTAAGCCAGCGTGACTGTTTAACACTAGGATGGGGATATGAGGACCAGGATTTAGGAAAGGACAGAGGGAAGGGATAGTGTCCAGTCACTCGGACCGCCGACCTGCAAGAAGCGAGCCCATCGTAGTACCAACCAGTCAAAGTAGTTGGGTAGCCAAGAGAGTGGGTGCCGCTGAGTGCCAGATAGCAACGTAATAGAGGGTCATACAAGGTGTTAGTACACTTTAGGCATAAATACGGTACTGGCCTTCACATCGGCTTTAACGAGTCTAATTGAATTAAACATGAATACAAAGTCTTGAACCGTTGATGTTTGGAATCTGATTTCTCTGCCGATTTAAATGAACAACACTGAGGTTTCTTTACTGTGTTGTTGATGATGACAAACATATTTAGTGTAGGCGATGAGTCACAATAACGTGGCTGAAGTATGTTGACCAGACCACACACTAGAAATTGAAGGGACGACGACGTTTCGGTCCGTCCTGGACCATTCTCAAGTCGATTCTCACAATCGACTTGACAATGGTCCAGGACGGACCGAAACGTCGTCGTCCCTTCAATTTCTAGTGTGTGGTCTGGTCAACATATTTAGTGTAAATTGTTGTTGGCCCAATGTGTTGTTCTGCTCATTATACACTACATACTGCATGCCAGGCCCCTCTCTGTGGTAAGTTAAAGCAGTATATTACCGCCCCTCTGAGTTACTTAAGTCAAGTGACAGAACAGTGACTGTCACAATGTCACTGTCACAGACAATGTGGGTTCCGGTACTGAACAGCAATGACCTTTAAGGTAATCAATTTCCACGTTTGGTAAACCTGTTACAGCCATTCATATTCCTCTCTGCTTGTAACTAGTTCTCCAATTACATAAATTGCGCAATTAACGGTGACTATACTAAGGTTTCCATTGCCCACTTGGTGCACACTTCACACCGTTGTCACAGTGAACCCATCGTCTCTAACAGCACCGTATGTTGACGCAATGAACAATTGTACAATTGTAGAGGGAAGGGAAGGGAAGGGATTTTTTTTTTATCCTCAAAACGGACACATCACGGGGAACTGAACAGTAGGGGCTCACACACACACAACCACGTTTTCTATACATTGGTCGGTTAGGTTAGGTGGATGACTTGGGTTGGTGTGTTTCAGTACCTCGTATTTTGTCCACTGTGGCACCTCGAGAAGATGGGCTGCACAGTCACTGTGTCTTGGAGCAAGCTACGCAACCAATTAGCCAATCACACAAACCTAGCAGCTGGCTGACGCGGAGACCCTTAAACATGCAGAACTCTGCCAGTGAGGTAAATTAATAATTTTTATACAACGTGATATTATAATGACCAAACCACACAACAGTAGATGGAGAAACGATGACTTTTAGCTTGATAATGATCCTGGATGGATCGAAACGTTGTCGTTTCTCCCTCTTATAATGTGTGGGTTTGGTCATTATATCTTCAGCCACGTTATTGTGACTCATCGTCTGCAACGTGATATTATGTATATGTAAACGTCTTGATGCTAATGCTTATATTATTTAGTTAAGAAAGGTCAGGATTCTCATGTTGATTTAAAGGCGATAAAGCAGACGAAGGTATACTTTGTGTATATATTCCTTTATCCATAACAAGCATATATATTCCAGAGCCAAATTAGATTTTGACGGCAATTTTAAGTGTTTTGAAAACCATTTGGGATATTTTGAAAGTCGTCTTAGAAGATTAGATATAAATTTTGGATGTTTAAAAAGCAGTTTTTGGATGTTTAGGGAAAACATTTCTACACTTAGAAAGCAATTTAGAATGTTTAGAATGACATTTTTGGATGTTCAGAAACCAATTTTTAGTGTTTAGTAAGCAATTTCGAGTGTTTAGAAAGACTTTTTGAATGTTTAGAAGCCAATTTTTATAGAAACCCATTTTTGTTGTTTGAAAATCAATTTTGGATGTTCAAAAATCAGTTTTGAAGGTGGAGAAAGCTATTTAAAATGTTTAGAAAGACATTTTAAATATTTAGGAAGCATTACTTGATGTTAAGAAAATATTTTTAGTTTACTTGAGTAAGTATTTTTAGTAACTGAGTAAACTATATGGAAAAAACTACAAAAATTATGTGACTATGGATCATAAATGCACATTATATGTTAACCAGGGAATAGTTAATTGATTGTTGGCTAGGATATTTAACTAATTGGTGATCAAGATGATCAACTATTTTCAGGTGATTTAACCAATTATAGTTTAGGATTTCCAATTAAATATTGGCGAAGGTTTCTCAACTGGCGAGGATATATAAGTATTACTTCAACATGTTTCAAATTATTGGGAAAGTTATTTAATTGATCGTTGGTTAGAATGGTTTTGCGTCGTGAGGCAGCAGGCTCGGATTTTCAATTAAGTATTAACCAGAATATTTAATTAATTGTTGAACAGGATAATAGTTAACCGTTTTGTGGGATATTCAAGTAATTGCCAGCAGGATATCCCCCCTAATTGTTGGGCTGAATATTCAATTACCTATTTGACAGGATATTCAATTACCTATTTGACAGGATAATCAATTAACTGCTTGCCGGGTATTCACCTAATTGCTTAGCATTATATTCACCTAACAGTTTGACAGAATCTTTAACTACTTTCTTGGCGGAACTTTAACTGTGTGTAGGATATGCGCCTAATTTGTTAATTTAAGCAGAATATTAAGCTAATTGCCAGGATACTCAACTAACTTTCTATCAAGGTATTCTACTAACTGTTTGGCAGCTAATTAATTGATTGTTAATATGTCAACTGGAAATATTTAGACAGAATCCTAGTGTTTACAGTCACTATAGTCTCAGTATCTACTTAGTACTGTCAAAGTAGATATTGAAAGGCAATTGTAAATATTTAAATATTTATATATTATAAGTAATTGTATCATACGTACTTTAATAAATATACTTCGATAAATATTGTTGTTCTGTTAATATTCTGAAGTTGATATTTATAATACAATTCCCATAATTTCAAACTCCTCTAGTCTATGTGAATCATCATCTGCAAAACTGGTAATAAATTAATAAAAAATAAGTAACTTCAGGATGGAAATTATAATGCTTTGAATAACATATTATAACACCTGGATTATAAAGTGTATCATGTGTTCTTGATTTGAATGTTATTTCACAGTTTAACATATAACTAATTTTTAATCATGTTGATTATTTAAAATATAAGTCAAATATATGTATTTGTGTTTAAAAGAAAATCCTAAGAAAGTGTTAAAATGTTTTAATAGCCATATATGTATATATATATATATATATATATATATATATATATATATATATATATATATATATATATATATATATATATATATATATATATATATATATATATATATATATGCCTGCATGTTTAATTTTTAGACGTTTTAGTGTTGAGCTTATTTTTATTTTATTAACACATTAAATAACAATTACGGTAATTACCAGCTATCAACAAAATGAATGATGAACTTTTGTTGAGCTAATTATTGGTATTTCCACACATAATACATTGTCATTCATTATATGTTTACAAATCCACTTCGATAAAATCATAAGGACAAATGGAGGTACCATTGACAATCTGCCGGCTTCCTGTCCTCACTGACGTCACTAGAGCTATAGAGGCCTTCAGGTAAATTCAGGTCAACTCAACAATGCGTAATTAATGACGGTGAATACAGCAGTTAATAAATATTCTACTGTACTGTATTCAGGATACAGACACTTGGGATTACAGTGATTACTGTACTGTGATCCTTGATGGACTGTATCTAAGATTAGTTTATGTTAGATAAACCGACACTGGAAGAGCCCCCCCCCCCCCCTTCCCCCCCCCCTCCCCCCCTCCCCCCTCCCCCCCCCCCCCCCCCACCTCCCTCCCCCCTCCCCCCCCTCCCCCCTCCCCCCCCCCCCCCCCCCCCCCCCCCCCCCCCTCCCCCCCCCCCCCCCCCTCCCCCCCCAACCTCCCCCCCCCCCAAACCACCTCCAGACACCTGAACTAGCAAACACTTGAGTCAGGCCGCTCCTGCTGACCATCTCCAAATTCAGTGTTGTTGTTGTTAGTAGCCAGTGCTACTCGGAACAAGTTCCAAGTAGCACAGGCTATGGTGAGCCCGTAACTTACTTGGCACAGGAGCGGGGCAAGAAACACGGGCTATGGTTAGCCTCTTGAGCTTCAGTGGTATCCCAGCTTGTTTATCTTATAGCACGTCGTGGTCCAGGGATAAGGTGCGGGGCTGGCTGTGTCCTTGACCGCTGGTTCGAGTCTTCTCAAAGCCCCCGAATTGATTTTCTCCTCATGAATATTATCATGAGTGACAAAATCAGTAGGATACACGAGGAGGATTTGAACGCACACACTGACTACTCCCAAGCACACGCATTAGACCACTTCACCATGACATGGTCCAAAGAAATGATTGGGCTTCAGTGGAAGCCTCAGAACCCCCTAGAGGATTCGGCTGAATCCCAGGTTCCAATGCTTTTGACCATGTCGTCGTGTAGGGGTCTAAGGCGTGTTTTTGGGAGTTCCTAGTGGGTAGGTTCGAATCCTCTTCACGGCTCCTACTGATTTTCTCATTGATACATCACCTTAGTGTGATTTCATTGTGCATTATGAATATTATCAAAAATATTGCTAAGACACAATATACAAAACATTGTGTTCATGTTAATGTACAGATTCAAGTAAGAATTTTGAGCTCTATCCCGGTTCTAACGTTGATAGGATAATTATGAGGAGAAAATGCTAAGCCAGTGTGACTATATAGCACTTAGAAGTGACGTGAGAACAAGGAGCAGGTATATACGGAAAATGAGCTTGAATATGAGGATAAGGAGCTTAAATATGAGGATAAAGAACTGGGATATAAGAACAAGGAGCTGAGATCAGAGTGAAGGAACGCTGCCCAGTCACAATCACATCCTACGAGGATCGAACGCCGACCCGACAAGATCCAAGGGCCTTGTTCCACCACCCAGTTCAAGTGGTTGGGTATTTACAGCATTGAGAATAATCGGGAAGTTGTGCAGACTTCGTTCAATGTTGACATGCGGAACAGTTCCGTTTCTCATTGGTAGAGTCCGTAATGTAGCGCATTATTTGCAGTTGTCACTGAAGGCAGGACACAAACACCGTGACTCTTTACACACAGAAATCACAATAGCGTGATGCATCAAATGAACAAATCCACAAGGACCGTGATGAGGATTCGAACCTACGTCCGAGAGCATCCCAGACGCTGCCTTAATCGACTGAGCTACGACATGGTATCAGAATTGCAACCAGAAATTCTACTGAATTTACTTGGTTCCTGCAGCCTCTCCGAGAGACAAACCAGGATTTTACACAATTCCCTCATGCACTCACTTTGTTCACAAGGGCTCTGCCGGGAGCTACAGGAACCTCTTTCTAAGCACTCTTGGAAGAACTTTGACACTCAGACGACGTCTGATTCCTGCTGTGGGGAATTGACCTGTGAGATTTATATATATTTAATTTATATGAATTTAATTATTTTAAAATTATTATTAAAATTTATATTTTACGTTAATTTATATTTTTCGATTGTAAACTGTTTGTTGTTTGAAGTGGACTATATTTCTTAAAATTTCCGCAAATCGATTTCCTTACACAATATTGGGGTTCATTAAATTATTTACATATATAAACTTTCAATAAAAAATTATTGATTAGTAAATGTTCACTACAGTATTAGACTACATAGGTAATTTGAACTAACCACAGCTTATCTTTATCTGTATGGTAGTGGGCCTAGTCAACCAGTTATGAACAAGGATGAACACGCCAGTCGATAACTCCTCGTGGGTGACTGGCTTCAACTCGTGTACTCATGCTAGGTAACTAGTTAATAATCTTCTTCCTCGTCAATGACACCTGTCAAAGAACACTCAGAAATAATAGCAGTAATCCTAATATGACACCTTTATCAGGGGAAATAAAGTATATTGATTATAAGATAATGACCAAGGAATATTTACCTCGGTTTTGTCGCTGTCTTGTGTCCTAACCGGAAAATATCCTAAATCTAAATATTAAAGACCTCTAATGAGCTTAGATAATTTTGGAATCGGAAGGGACACTACCCTTATTGTAGACGTAGTAGGAGCTGATACCGGGAGCACTATTAATCCCGGTCCAAGGGAGCTAGATTTCTATCTAGATTTCAAATCTATAGGAGCTAGATTGGCCTCCAGTGACTCTTGTGTTAAATTAATGGCTGCCTACTCCCTCTGCCCGCATCCCTTGTTCTACGGATGCGTTTTATCCAAGTGGATAGAGGGCCCACTATTTACTGTATTTTGGTACTAATAATTAAGTTGATTCAAGTGAAATGCTTTTATGATGTTTACAGTCCAAAGACTGCTGTATTTGCTGTATTAAGAATGTTCCCAACAGATGTAGCTGATGAATTTAACACCGACGTGGCAATGATATCTCCCGTTTTCTATGAGATGAAAATTCCACTGTTTTCTTCTATGAGTTAATTTATTAGCAGAATCCAGTAGCAATATTATCTGCCTATTGAATTGAATATTAATAAATAGTGTCGTGTTTTTCGACACCTGCTCCGGTGTAAGGTTGTGTGAAAAAAAAAAAAAATTACGGCGGATACACCTTTTGTGAAAATCGATACACCTTTTCTGTATCGATTTTTACCTATTGGGTGATGATACTGCCATTCAGCGTGCCTCTTCAGCACGCTGAATGCTGAAGACGCCCTCTCAGTAGTGAGAGGGCGTCTGGAGTCAGTGTGGGAGAGACGAGGCGGGTGCTGGGGGCCAGTGGCCGCAGGGTGGGGTAGACGTCTGCCCTCTGCTACATCACAGGTCCCTTTAAGACGGCACTGTCTATCTATCCAAGGAGACTTGAGTTAAGTGGAGGTCCAGCGCGACGAACCTGTCGAAAGGTTGCAATTTTCTTCAACTTCCAAAAATGGCCAACAGGTGGTGTTGTCGTCGACAGGTGGCGTGACCGACAGGTGGTGTTGTCGTCGACAGGTGGCGTGACCGACAGGTGGTGTTGTCGTCGACAGGGGGCGTGACCGACAGGTGGTGCTGTCGTCGACAGGTGACGTGACCGACAGGTGGTGTTGTCGTCGACAGGTGGCGTGACCGACAGGTGGTGTTGTTGTCGACAGGTGATGCGACCGACAGGTGGTGTTGTCGTCGACAGGTGGCGTGACCGACAGGGGTGTGTGTGTGTTTGCCCCTAAACAGGAGCCAGTGAAGTAACACCATGATTGGGCAGTCATGGATCCCTAGGGATACAACAGGTCACAGACCCTGCTCGTCCTCATGAGGTAGAGTGCACGCCACGTACACCTTGTCCACAGACAAGAACAATAACGAGCGAGATCAGTGTCATCTACACTGAAACATACTGACCCTTGTAGTCTGTAGCTCCAGCGAGAACCCTTAGCCCCGTCATTGCTCATTTTATCTGCCCGAAACGCTGCGCGTACTAGTGGCTTTACAAGATTGTAATTACTATATTATGTATCCTCATAATCCCAATGTACCTTCTTGTATGTATATAAATAAATAAATAAATAAAATCTCTGGGTAACACTCGCTAGAGTTCCTCACACCAGGCGTGAGCACTGAGCAGCACAGTACACCACTTAGTGTGTGTGGTCGTCACACCTGGCGTGAGCACTGAGCAGCACAGTACACCACTTAGCGTGTGTGGTCGTCACACCTGGCGTGAGCACTGAGCAGCACAGTACACCACTTAGTGTGTGTGGTCGTCACACCAGGCGTGAGCACTGAGCAGCACAGTACACCACTTAGCGTGTGTGGTCGTCACACCTGGCGTGAGCACTGAGCAGCACAGTACACCACTTAGTGTGTGTGGTCGTCACACCAGGCGTGAGCACTGAGCAGCACAGTACACCACTTAGCGTGTGTGGTCGTCACACCAGGCGTGAGCACTGAGCAGCACAGTACACCACTTAGCGTGTGTGGTCGTCACACCAGGCGTGAGCACTGAACAGCACAGTACACCACTTAGCGTGTGTGGTCGTCACACCAGGCGTGAGCACTGAGCAGCACAGTACACCACTTAGCGTGTGTGGTCGTCACACCTGGCGTGAGCACTGAGCAGCACAGTACACCACTTAGCGTGTGTGGTCGTCACACCAGGCGTGAGCACTGAGCAGCACAGTACACCACTTAGCGTGTGTGGTCGTCACACCAGGCGTGAGCACTGAGCAGCACAGTACACCACTTAGCGTGTGTGGTCGTCACACCAGGCGTGAGCACTGAGCAGCACAGTACACCACTTAGCGTGTGTGGTCGTCACACCAGGCGTGAGCACTGAGCAGCACAGTACACCACTTAGCGTGTGTGGTCGTCACACCTGGCGTGAGCACTGAGCAGCACAGTACACCACTTAGCGTGTGTGGTCGTCACACCTGGCGTGAGCACTGAGCAGCACAGTACACCACTTAGCGTGTGTGGTCGTCACACCAGGCGTGAGCACTGAACAGCACAGTACACCACTTAGCGTGTGTGGTCGTCACACCAGGCGTGAGCACTGAGCAGCACAGTACACCACTTAGTGTGTGTGGTCGTCACACCAGGCGTGAGCACTGAGCAGCACAGTACACCACTTAGCGTGTGTGGTCGTCACACCTGGCGTGAGCACTGAGCAGCACAGTACACCACTTAGCGTGTGTGGTCGTCACACCTGGCGTGAGCACTGAACAGCACAGTACACCACTTAGTGTGTGTGGTCGTCACACCAGGCGTGAGCACTAAGCAGCACAGTACACCACTTAGTGTGCATGTTCTTCACACAAAGCGTGAGGACTGAGCAGCACAGTACACTATTCACTGCACGTTTCTTTACCCCCAATTAATGAGATGAACAATATGAACTAGGTTGGCACAGCTGTCCTTGAAGGATTGTCCAATATAATTAATTCCAATAAATGTTTCAAAGTGAAGATAAGAAACTGAGATTGTTCAGTTCGTCAACTTAATCTTCTTACAAGAGATTTGATTTATTAAATTCCGATTTTTCAATTCAGGTTACAACGGCAGCCTCTGAGGCAGATATCCTGGGTACTTCATGGTGAGATATGATAGCCGGACAACGATAGCAGCGTCAGCCAGTCACTGACAGTCTTCCACCACTGGCAACGTCAGCATGTTGTCCCGGTCAGTGTTTCTGCTGCTCGGTGTTCTGCTGATGACTGCTGCCACTCAGGATAGCGAGGAACAGCAGGTAGGTCACGCTAGACTGATGCCACTCAGGATAGCGAGGAACAGCAGGTAGGTCACGCTAGACTGCTGCCACTCAGGATAGCGAGGAACAGCGAGTAGGTCACGCTAGGCTGCTGCCACTCAGGATAGCGAGGAACAGCGAGTAGGTCACGCTAGACTGCTGCCACTCAGGATAGCGAGGAACAGCAGGTAGGTCACGCTAGATGCTGCCACTCAGGATAGCGAGGAACAGCAGGTAGGTCACGCTAGACTGCTGCCACTCAGGATAGCGAGGAACAGCAGGTAGGTCACGCTAGACTGCTGCCACTCAGGATAGCGAGGAACAGCGAGTAGGTCACGCTAGGCTGCTGCCACTCAGGATAGCGAGGAACAGCGAGTAGGTCACGCTAGACTGCTGCCACTCAGGATAGCGAGGAACAGCAGGTAGGTCACGCTAGATGCTGCCACTCAGGATAGCGAGGAACAGCAGGTAGGTCACGCTAGACTGCTGCCACTCAGGATAGCGAGGAACAGCAGGTAGGTCACGCTAGACTGATGCCACTCAGGATAGCGAGGAACAGCAGGTAGGTCACGCTAGACTGATGCCACTCAGGATAGCGAGGAACAGCAGGTAGGTCACGCTAGATGCTGCCACGCAGGATAGCGAGGAACAGCAGGTAGGTCACGCTAGACTGCTGCCACTCAGGATAGCGAGGAACAGCAGGTAGGTCACGCTAGACTGCTGCCACTCAGGATAGCGAGGAACAGCGAGTAGGTCACGCTAGACTGATGCCACTCAGGATAGCGAGGAACAGCGAGTAGGTCACGCTAGACTGCTGCCACTCGGGATAGCGAGGAACAGCAGGTAGGTCACTGTAGGCTGCTGCCACTCGGGATAGCGAGGAACAGCAGGTAGGTCACGCTAGACTGCTGCCACTCAGGATAGCGAGGAACAGCGAGCAGGTCACGCTGCCTCTCTTGATCAATTCGTCCTCTTACAAATAAGGTCACTTTTCGCTCATATGCGTAATAAGGCTAAAAAAAGAACGTACTTTAAAATAGAAGAGGCTCACGAAAGTGATGTATTATCTCGTTTTCTGTTTTGGATCCTCTGGCTTAGGCCGTTAGATTAGCATAGGAAATTTTCAGTTAATAGTTTTCATGACGTTTTGAAATGTTAGGGAGAATATCTTGCCCTCTTAATCTACCAGATGACCCTGAACTTGCAGTTTTGGAAAAAAAACATCCAGAATTTTGTTTTAAATTACTTTTTAATTTTAAAATTACGGCCTTTTTCGACCGTAGCGCTTACGAGGGTAGAGCGACGCAATTTGTATGAGGACGAGTGGTTTATCACTGGCGTCTGAGCGGGGCAGGAGACGAGGTGCCCTCATGGGAGATGGTCGGTGTTATGGAGGTCGTTGGGGGAAATGGTCGGTGTTATGGAGGTCGTCGGGGGAAATGGTCGGTGTTATGGAGGTCGTCGGGGGAAATGGTTGGAGTTAGGGAGGTCGTCGGGGGAAACGGTCGGTGTTATGGAGGTCGTTGGGGGAAATGGTCGGTGTTATGGAGGTCGTCGGGGGAAACGGTCGGTGTTAGGGAGGTCGTCGGGGGAAATGGTCGGTGTTATGGAGGTCGTCGGGGGAAATGGTCGGTGTTAGGGAGGTCGTCGGGGGAAATGGTCGGTCGTCGGGGGAAATGGTCGGTGTTATGGAGGTCGTCGGGGGAAATGGTCGGTGTTAGGGAGGTCGTCGGGGAAATGGTCGGTGTTAGGGAGGTCGTCGGGGGAAACGGTCGTCGGGGAGAAATACGGGGGTCGTTGGGGGAAATGGGTCGGTCGGTGTTAGGGACGGGTCGTCGGGGGAAATGGTCGGTGTTAGGGAGGTCGTCGGGAGGTCGTCGGGAGAAAAGTTACGGGGGGTCGGTGTTAGGTCGTCGGGGGAAATGGTCGGTGGTCGTCGTCGGGGGAAATGGTCGGTGTTAGGGAGGTCGTCGGGGGAAACGGTCGGTGTTATGGAGGTCGTCGGGGGAAACGGTCGGTGTTAGGGAGGTCGTCGGGGGAAATGGTCGGTGTTATGGAGGTCGTCGGGGGAAACGGTCGGTGTTAGGGAGGTCGTCGGGGGAAACGGTCGGTGTTATGGAGGTCGTTGGGGGAAATGGTCGGTGTTATGGAGGTCGTCGGGGGAAACGGTCGGTGTTAGGGAGGTCGTCGGGGGAAATGGTCGGTGTTATGGAGGTCGTTGGGAAACATTAGTTATAAACATACCGAAGAAGAAGAGAATATTACCCGTAATTATAGGGAAGCAAGAAACTAAGTGAGTCCTGTGTATCACCCTACACCCTGTGACTGTATCTCCCTACACCCTGTGACTGTATCTCCCTACACCCTGTGACTGTATCACCCTACACCCTGTGACTGTATCACCCTACACCCTGTGACTGTATCTCCCTACACCCTGTGACTGTATCTCCCTACACCCTGTGACTGTATCTCCCTACACCCTGTGACTGTATCACCCTACACCCTGTGACTGTATCACCCTACACCCTGTGACTGTATCTCCCTACACCCTGTGACTGTATCACCCTACACCCTGTGACTGTATCACCCTACACCCTGTGACTGTATCTCCCTACACCCTGTGACTGTATCTCCCTACACCCTGTGACTGTATCTCCCTACACCCTGTGACTGTATCACCCTACACCCTGTGACTGTATCACCCTACACCCTGTGACTGTATCACCCTACACCCTGTGACTGTATCACCCTACACCCTGTGACTGTATCACCCTACACCCTGTGACTGTATCACCCTACACCCTGTGACTGTATCTCACTACACCCTGTGACTGTATCTCCCTACACCCTGTGACTGTATCTCCCTACACCCTGTGACTGTATCTCCCTACACCCTGTGACTGTATCTCCCTACACCCTGTGACTGTATCCTTTCAGAATTATTAATGTTCCTAGAGCTGTGTGTGTTTAACTATATATATATATATATATATATATATATATATATATATATATATATATATATATATATATATATATATAAATAAACTTTTTTCTACTAAATACTCGTTACATAACATTAAGAATTTAATTCTCAGTGCCACTGATATTTTCTCTGAACGTTATCAAAATAATAAATATTTTTTCTTATACATTACCCAGTGAATATAATCAGAGATAACACGACACTTTATCTTATCTCAGAGAAAGGTAAAAGTGTCTTGAAAAAGTCATTTAACTGACCCATTTGACAATGAGTGTCTGCTGTTCGTTCATATACAGAATATAATATATATATATATATATATATATATATATATATATATATATATATATATATATATATATATATATATATATATATATATATATAAAGACTACACAATAACATTCTGTAGTCATTAATATCAAGGCTATAACTCGGTACGAATCACTATTTAAGAATTGGTTAACCAAGAACAGTTTCTGCCACAAGAGGTAATATCGTAATTTACTTTACTTCCGTATTCTTTCCCAGAACAGTAGTAAAGAACAAATCCGTAGTAAAGAGTTTTTCGGTCAAACAGGAAAAAAATATTTAGCACAGAACCACATAAATATATCAGCAAGATAAGATAAGAATGAAGGGTTTTGTTTGGATATCTCTCATACTCTGGTCGTGATACTGGTAAACAAAAATTCTAAACTCATGTGTCATTTCTAAAGACAGAATAATAGATTCTAGAATTCTTTCTAATCAGTTCAACTAATTGGAACGATAGGTTGTGCAGGTCGAGGAAAAGTAATCCTTTACCCTATCGAGTAAACTTTACCCATCACTCATCGAGGAGGGTACAAAGTTGCAACATTGCATTCATTGTTGTCGTAGTATTGGGTTAGATCATGAATAAATAGACGCTTTGTAACGACGAGTCTCATTGGTCAAAACACCACACACTAGTTTATATAAATCTCAGCCATTTAAAGGAAAATATATCATGACACAGTGAATACATATTTACACCTGGAAGATTAGTGAACAAGGGAGATGCCTCTATTTTTGTGCCTAAGAGTTTATTGATCTTTTATGTATGTAATATGTGATAATTTTACATATTGGCTTTTGACTCCTGAGGCGGAGGACGTGGCGTCCCACACAAGATGTTTCTTCTGGTGGGGTCCGAGCTAAGGTTTTTTTGTGTGTAGCCAGATGTGGGTGGGGGTCATATAGCCATCGTGTATGAATACACTCTGGCTTCCTGTCCCCGACACAGTGAAATATCGTATTATTAATAACTAGTGATGATATACTGTGGGAATATTGTAATACTGAAAATATTGATTTAGAACTCAATAACCTCATACAACTGATGAATAACCCCATACAACTGATGAATAACCTCACACAGCTGATGAATAACCTCACACAACTGATGAATAACCCCATACAACTGATGAATAACCTCACACAGCTGATGAATAACCTCATACAACTGATGAATAACCCCATACAACTGATGAATAACCCCATACAACTAATGAATAACCTCACACAACTGATGAATAACCTCACACAACTGATGAATAACCCCATACAACTGATGAATAACCCCATACAACTAATGAATAACCTCACACAACTGATGAATAACCTCACACAACTGATGAATAACCTCACACAACTGATGAATAACCCCATACAACTGATGAATAACCTCACAACTGATGAATAACCCCATACAACTGATGAATAACCCCATACAACTAATGAATAACCTCACACAACTGATGAATAACCTCACACAACTGATGAATAACCCCATACAACTGATGAATAACCCCATACAACTAATGAATAACCTCACACAACTGATGAATAACCTCACACAACTGATGAATAACCTCACACAACTGATGAATAACCCCATACAACTAATGAATAACCTCACACAACTGATGAATAACCTCACACAACTGATGAATAACCTCACACAACTGATGAATAACCTCATACAACTGATGAATAACCTCACACAACTAATGAATAACCTCATACAACTGATGAATAACCTCACACAACTGATGAATAACCTCACACAACTGATGAATAACCTCATACAACTGATGAATAACCTCACACAACTAATGAATAACCTCACACAACTGATGAATAACCTCACACAACTGATGAATAACCTCACACAACTGATGAATAACCTCACACAGCTAATGAATAACCTCACACAGCTAATGAATAACCTCACACAACTGATGAATAACCCCATACAACTGATGAATAACCCCATACAACTGATGAATAACCTCAGACAACTGATGAATAACCCCATACAACTGATGAATAACCTCACACAACTGATGAATAACCTCACACAACTGATGAATAACCTCACACAGCTAATGAATAACCTCACACAACTGATGAATAACCCCATACAACTGATGAATAACCCCATACAACTGATGAATAACCTCACACAACTGATGAATAACCCCATACAACTGATGAATAACCCCATACAACTGATGAATAACCTCACACAACAGATGAATAACCTCACACAACTGATGAATAACCCCATACAACTGATGAATAACCTCACACAACTGATGAATAACCCTCAGACAACTGATGAATAACCTCACACAACTGATGAATAACCCCATACAACTGATGAATAACCTCACACAGCTGATGAATAACCTCACACAACTGATGAATAACCCCATACAACTGATGAATAACCTCACACAACTGATGAATAACCTCACACAGCTGATGAATAACCTCACACAACTGATGAATAACCCCATACAACTGATGAATAACCCCATACAACTGATGAATAACCTCACACAACTGATGAATAACCTCACACAACTGATGAATAACCCTCAGACAACTGACGAATAACCTCACACAACTAATTAACGTCCTCAACCAACTTTAGTTTCGTGTACTGTAATATTATATAAATGTATAAGTAATTTGAAACTTTTTCTCGTAAGTTTCTAGTACCTGAAGCAGATATATTATAATCCCTTAATAATTAAAATACTTTAATAATTAATAATTAACACGTAAAAGCAGAAAATAAAATATGTAATTATCTCACACAACTCTACATATCAACATATACCAATACTCTTCAATTATCCAGCTCTCTTATATCTTTTATGGTGTTAAAAATCTCAAATATATTTTCTGTTGTCTCTTTCAGAAAGAAGAGGAGGAAATATACTTCAGCGTTGCCGCAAGTGAGTAATCTGAGGCCTATAGTTCCTTGGTGATCTGTGGTCGTCACACGGCGGAATATCCGGTCCCTGGTCCTAGCATGTGGGCTACAGCTAAGATAGTCATTACCAGTGTAGACAGTCATCTTAAAGACCGACTTTGACAAGTTGTTACACTTGTCTAAGTCGGTCTTGTCTAAGTCAGTCTTGTCTAAGTCGATCTTGTCTAAGTCAGTCTTGTCTAAGTCGGTCTTGTCTAAGTCCGTCTTGCCTAAGTCAGTCTTGTCTAAGTCCGTCTTGCCAAAGTCGGTCTTGTCCAAGACTTGTCTAAGACTTGACTAAGATTTGCCCATCATGGAACAATGTTCCATGTTGGGCAAATCTCAATGCATACCAGTGTAAAGTATTTCACAGTGGCAACACAAATCTACAATTCGACTGCAACATCTTAGAGGAACCATTAAGTATATTATGTGATGGTAGATGGAGTGGTACACAGTGAACAAAACTACCAAAATGAGTCCATATACAACGGCGCTTAAACTATATATAGACTAACTGAATGTACGAGGAATGACTTACACAGTAAGTCTTCCACAGTGAAGATCCGAATACATTGTCTCGAACATCAAAAGACTAAAAGGATATCAGTGCAAATAATTCAGATTATCAACAACGTAATGTTAGCCCAGTAAAGCATTTGAACACTACACAGCCAACTAACACTTGCACAAATACCTTTAATATTACACAGCAGAATACCAATCAGACAAGTTGCAAACATGTGGAAGAATCAACAAGTGATATCATTCACAGATACCGTGAATTAATTAAAAAGTTATCAATATCATGGCCACCTGGACTCGCATATTATCATAAACTTATCTCTTGACTCAAGGGTTATCAAAATAACTGAAAAATGTATATTAGCGCTATATAGCACTTATTTTTACCCTGTATATTTTAATATAATTTTAATGTTTTAATATTAATGTTATTATATATATATATATATATATATATATATATATATATATATATATATATATATATATATATATATATATATATATATATATGTCGTACCTAGTAGCCAGAACTCACTTCTCAGCCTACTATGCAAGGCCCAATTTGCCTAATAAGCCAAGTTTTCATGAATTAATTGTTTTTCGACTACCTAACCTACCTAACCTAACCTAACCTAACTTTTTCTGCTACCTAACCTAACCTAACCTATAAAGATAGGTTAGGTTAGGTTAGGTAGGGTTGGTTAGGTTTGGTCATATATCTACATTTATTTAAACTCCAATAAAAAAAAATTGACCTCATACATAATGAAATGGTTAGATTTATCATTTCATAAGAAAAAAATTAGAGAAAATATATTAATTCAGGAAAACTTGGCTTATTAGGCAAATCGGGCCTTGCATAGTAGGCCGATAAGTGCGTTCTGGCTATTAGGTTATTATATATATATATATATATATATATGTCGTACCTAGTAGCCAGAACTCACTTCTCAGCCTACTATTCAAGGCCCGATTTGCCTAATAAGCCAAGTTTTCCTGAATTAGTATATTTACTATAATTTATTTCTTATGAAATGATAAAGCAACCCTTTTCTCTATGTATGAGGTAAATTTTTTTTTATTGGAGTTAAAATTAACGTAGATATATGACCGAACCTAACCAACCCTACCTAACCTAACCTAACCTATATTTATAGGTAAGGTTAGGTTAGGTAGCCAAAAAAAGCTAGGTTAGGTTAGGTTAGGTAGGTTAGGTAGACGAAAAAACATTAATTCATGAAAACTTGGCTTATTAGGCAAATCGGGCCTTGAATAGTAGGCTGAGAAGTGCGTTCTGGCTATTAGGTACGACATATATATATATATATATATATATATATATATATATATATATATATATATATATGTCGTACCTAGTAGCCAGAACGCACTTCTCAGCCTACTATGCAAGGCCCGATTTGCCTAATAAGCCAAGTTTTACTGAATTAATATATTTTCTCTAATTTTTTTCTTATGAAATGATAAAGCTACCCATTTCATTATGTATGAGGTCAATTTTTTTGTATTGGAGTTAAAATTAACGTAGATATATGACCGAACCTAACCAACCCTACCTAACCTAACCTAACCTATCTTTATAGGTTAGGTTAGGTTAGGTAGCCGAAAAAGTTAGGTTAGGTTAGGTTAGGTAGGTTAGGTTGCCGAAAAACAATTAATTCATGAAAACTTGGCTTATTAGGCAAATCGGGCCTTGCATAGTAGGCCGAGAAGTGTGTTCTGGCTACTAGGTACGACATATATATATATATATATATATATATATATATATATATATATATATATATATGTCGTACCTAGTAGCCAGAACTCACTTCTCAGCCAACTATTCAAGGCCCGATTTGCCTAATAAGCCAAGTTTTCCTGAATTATTATATTTACTATAATTTTTTCTTATGAAATGATAAAGCTACCCATTTCACTATGTATGAGGTCAATTTTTTTTATTGGAGTTAAAATTAACATAGATATATGACCGAACCTAACCAACCCTACCTAACCTAACCTAACCTATATATATAGGTAAGGTTAGGTTAGGTAGCCAAAAAAGCTAGGTTAGGTTAGGTTAGGTAGGTTAGGTTGACGAAAAAACATTAATTCATGAAAACTTGGCTTATTAGGCAAATCGGGCCTTGCATAGTAGGCTGAGAAGTGAGTTCTGGCTACTAGGTACGACATATATATATATATATATATATATATATATATATATATATATATATATATATATATATATATATATATATATATATTTATTCCCTTCAATGAATTCATTAGAATTCCGGGCTAGTCGGTTTTTGTACCATCGTGGCTGAGTCGGTTAGGACAGGTGTCTGTGATTAACCAAGACGCAGGTTCGAGTCACTCCATTGCCTCCAAATCACGTGATCCAGAGAAAATAAATTATTGAACCAAATATTAATAAATCTGCATTTGTAAAATAGTGAATTTGATACATTTGATAGCTTTATAATTGATAAGGGAAGGGAACTGTCAGGAGAAAGCGCCAAACCATCACGACTGAGTAGCACTTGGAGGAGAGCAGGATTAGGATTTGGGATGAAACGGATGGGATAAAGTTTGTGATATAAAATAATGTAAACTCAGGCTAAATATGCATTCCATGCTACTGCCATGCCACATAGCTCTTTAAGAATGAAGAACGCTTTACACATAACTCACAACTGAGCATTTTCGAACTTTTCTCGAAAAGTGACTCGCTGACAACCTCTGTTCGAATTCTAACTCAGTAAATGCTTCTCTCACGTACTTCAAATACCAATAACTACAAACGGAACCTAAACACCTAACCTGGCCAATGCCTAAATATGGACAATGTACTAATGTATAATAATATTAATATATATTTAAGAAAATTCCAAGTTTGAATGAACAGCATGTTAATGTTGATGAATGCGTCTTTGGGGTCGATGGGACTCAACCCATTCTCGCATACAAAGATCCAAACTTTTTAATCCCGCCACCAACCCCCCCCTGTTTATGAATGAAAAACGGTTTACACACGACTCACAACTGTTGACGTTCGAACACTTCCGGAACAAGTGCTTCACTGACAAATATTGTTCGAACCACAACGCTGTAAATGCTCAGCCCGTCCTCCAAACAAAGATCCAAAAGTGATTCCATGCACCCGCCAAACCCCCTGTTTATGAATGAAAAGCGGTTTACACACGACTCACAACTGGTGACGTTCGAACATATCCGGAACAAGTGCTTCACTGACGAATTTTGTTCGAATCACAACGCTATAAATGCTTCACCCACGTACTACAAATGCAAATAATCGCCAACCGAACCTAAACACCTAACCTAACCTAACCTATGCCTATATATGCACAATATGCTAATATATTATAATATTAATTTATACTTGAGAAAATTCTTGTTCTGAATGAACAGCAAGTTAAAATTTATGAATGCGTCTGTGGGGGCGACCGCTGGATGTAATGGACTTGAGTCGAGGACGGGTTGAGTTGTTAATGACAGGCTGAGAAGTTTAGTCAACTGCATTTGTGTTTGTGGACCCGACGTTCAAGTCACCCAAGTCGTTGCTAACATTGGCCGGAGTTGCCTGCCTAGTTTGGAGGTAATTTGTAATATTTGACACTAGGGTAATTAATGTACGGTGTGGGGGGGGGGGGGGGGGACGGTTTCAGGGGTGAGGAGGTAGTAATATTGTACTACCAGTGTTCATAGTAAAGTATACCAGTGTGACAAGTCTTCATGCAGCATTTAATGTGAGCCTGTGGTCCATAATTCATCGATCCCTGCAATGCGATAATTTTTTATATCAATGTTAATGTCAAGTATCGCATGTCTCTGTGTTATGTTGTTATTAGTATATAGTGGTGAAAGTTTCCTACACATTGGGGGGGGGGTCCTAGAGGTTTATAGCTCTTAACCTAAGTTACAATGCAGGCAAGTTACTCTTATTAACAGAGTATAATCTATTTCAGAAGTATAAACAAAACATAATATATCTGTGTATAAACAAACACGAAAACATCGTACATGGTTTTGGTGTTTGTTTACACAGACAGTGACAAGCGTGTGTCGTACAAGGACAGCTCCTGTACAAGGGTGTGTCGTGCAAGGTGACAGCTCCTGTACAAGGCGTGTGTCGTGCAAGGTGACAGCTCCTGTACAAGGGCGTGTGTCGTGCAAGGTGACAGCTCCTGTACAAGGGTGTGTCGTGAGGTGACAACTCCTGTACAAGGGTATGTGTCGTGCAAGGTGACAGCTCCTGTACAAAGGTGGATTGGAACTCCAGATGAAAATGAAGCCGAGAAGGAGAAAGAGAAAACCAGACTGGAAATAGAAAAAGAGAAAGCAAGGCTAGAGGTGGAAAAAGAAAAAGAGAGAACAAAACAAATGCAGATAGAAGCGAATAGAACCTTGGCTGAGCAAAGGATTGAA